CCTACGCAAGAATAATTTTGTTCCAACTTAGGAAACATGTTTTTAATAAATGTTCCCACATATCTTTAAATTGTCACGCTTCCATATTAAATTCACGTCTTATTATTTTAATATTGTTATTTCCATGTAGAATTTTTTGCAAACTTGAACCCGTTAAACGATTATGGACAAAAACAAGGTGGGTTTTTTAAGGCACCTTTAATAAGCCCACTTATATCCTTGATTCGAAAAAAATCATTATTTTTTTTACTCTTACAATTTTTACTTTTACCTATTACACAGTACGACAAAATTTGATTTTTGGTCCCTCCCATGAAAAATTTCTACAGATTCTAAAAATAGAGTTAAAAAAATGATATCCGTGTCTCGGCGTTTTTTCACATCACGTCATAATTTTTTTTTAAGGGCCATCCAATAAAATGTTGTTCACACTATTCGCGACATAATAGACTCGATAACAGCTGGACTGCATAGTTAAAAAAATATATGTTTACTAAATGGATAGGCAACCATTATAGATGCATTTTAAAATTATTTTAATCTTATACAGAGTTTTGCACATTTATATATATATCAAACGGTTTATTTTTAAACCAAGTAACAAAATGTTTCAATTTTAAGCCAATCAAAATGCTTTAAAGTCGGGTAATTAAAATTTTTATTTATTCAATTTTTTGTAAAAATTGAGCTTTGTTGAATTAACATTTAAAAAAAAAAAAAAGATATTTAAATGAATTGATTTAAGTCTTAAAGCAAATGTACCTAAAACATATTTAATTTAAGTAAAAAAAGTATTTAAGTATACGAAGTCAATTGAAACAGCAAAAAAACAAAAAATTTACACATCTGCGGCATTTATACATAAAAAGCATTGTTTTCAAAACAACCTTTATACGAGGGTAATACTTTTTTTTAAATGTTAAATAAAAACATTATTGCAGCGATAAATCGATAAATTTTTCATATTAATTTTGATTGTTGAGTTAACCATCCATTTGAAATCAAAGTAAAAATGCAGTGTCCGAATCGAAATAATTTTTGTTATGTATGTGCACCTCCAAGCCATATGCGAAATATTACAAAAAGTGTAGTAACAGCTTTTGAAGACTATTTTTTGGTGACGTATATACCAAACTTATGGTATGTACCAGAGGTTTTATGGGATTATTGTTACCGTTGTTTGCATGGATTGCAAGATAAAACACACAGTATGAAATATGTTGTACCAACAATTTGGCTTCGACCCGTCGCGACGTACCGAACACGCATCTGACCAGTGTTATTTCTGCATGTCAAAATTAAAAAGTTTTGGATTTCGGTACAATACTAGAGAGAAAATTGATTACGCCGATGTAGAATCCGTCATACTCGCAAGAGTGCGATCTGAAGATTATCCAACTGCTCCTTCAGAAAACATATGTGAGGATAAAAGTAAAAGATCTTTAACACCCAGTACAACCATTTTTTCCGAGATGGAATCTGAATTTATTCCCTGTAGTTCGGGTTATAAAGTACATTTTATAACACAGGACATGAAAGTACATATGTCACTGAAAATACATTTTCTCCATGCTCATTTGGACTATTTGGACTATTTTCCACCAAATTTGGGCGATTTTAGTGACGAACATGGCGAACGTTTTCACCAAGACATTTTAACAATTGAAAAACGCTTCAAGGGAAAAGACGTCAGGCATTTGCTGGGTGAATATTGCTGGTCAATTGTTCGAGATTCTGAAGCAATATACAGCCTGTTCAGAATAAAACCGAATATATCTATATATATATATGGGGCGTGGCCTCGCCTCCCTCCAAGGCGCGTCACAGTTGCTTGTGTGATAAACGACATGACGAAAGGTCGCGCAGGTAAGGACTTAAAAAATTAAATGATAATAATGCAAAAAATCTCATTAGCGATGCAGTCTATTTGCTTAGCTACTGTGTCGCGCATTGGAGGGAGGCGAGGCCACGCCCCATATATATATATAGATATATTCGGTTTTAGTCTGAACGAGCTGTATAATCGTCAAACTAAACGACCAAGATTTTATTCCAACATGTATTGAATATAAGATAAATACAAAAATGTGTTTCATTAAAAAAAAAATAAAAAAAATTATTTAAAAAAAATCAAAATATAAACTTTTTTTATATTTGTTTTTTTGTATTGTGTAAAAACATACAATATTTACAAAAAAATATATTTTTAACCGAGTAAAAAATGTACAATCTGTATAAGCATAAATAATAGGAATGACGGCTTAAAATTTTTTTATGACGTGATCTCGTGAAACTGTGAGACACGGGTACGTTTTTTTTACCTCTATTTTCAAAATCTGCTAAAATTTTTCATGGGAGGGAAATTGTGTTGTACTGTGTTATCGAATCATATCGCTTATTTGGCTTAATGTATGCTAAATAATTTCGCATTGTTATATTAAACTATTGCTTAACCATTTTAATTATAAACAATTAATCCTTCATTTAGTTTATGATATGTTTTCACTTTTTATTTGGCATTACAAATTGCTATCTTGCTGGGTGAAAGTGTTTTTTTTAAGAAACTGATTTATCATATATAAAGTTATATTACTATACCAAATCCTGTACCTAAATTAAATAGTTGTCGATTCATTAATTTTTTTTATTAAAAATTTACAAATGCGGCTCAATCTTAACATCCGGTATGTTTTACATAATCAAATATTAAAATAAAAAACCTTACTATTCCCTATACCTAAAGTTAATAATTTCAGAAATATTAAACAATTTCTAAAATTTTAAATATTATTTTGCATCAAGAAACCTGTGACGGGTTAGTTGACGGTATCTATGGTTACCAATAAAAAAGAAGTTAAAATAAAAAAGTTAATAACTTTAATTTAGCATAATTCGTTTTCTCAGGTATTTTTTTGAAAAATATTAAATAATTTACATATTAAACCATGATTAAAGATTCCAAAAATTCCACCCCCATCTTCGCAAAACCTAATAACAAAAAAGTTACCCAAAAAAATATCCAAAATTGTTAAAAATGGTGGATGCACCACATTTTTAAAAAGCGCATTTCTTATAAACTTTTTATTTTTATTAATATTTATTTTACCGGAGAAATCCGGTCAACGCATGCAAATGTACGTTTCACGGGAGTTCATGACCCGAAAATTTGCATCAATTTGTATTCATCAGATTGTTTTAATTGTAACATTTATAAATTAGGCTTAAAGATTCGATAATAAAAATTTACCCACTTTGTGGTCCTTTAAAGTATTATTTTATTTAGTTGGCACTATGAACTGTCAAATTAAACTGTTTTTAGCATAATACAGTTTTATTTGACAAAATAATATCTTAAAAGACCACAGAATATAATATGAATTTTACTATATTAGTAAAAAGGTAAGAATAGTACATTCTGTAACAAGTTTGGAATACAGCATATTCCGCTCGAGGAAAAATTTGACACACGAGCCGAAGGCGAGTGTGACGGTTTTACGAGAGTGGAATATTCTATTCCAAACGTGTTTCAGACATTATTTTCTCTACGACTACGTAAGAATAGTAACGCTTATATAATTTTAAACAGAGAAAAGAAACCAAGCAGTTTTTGACATTTAAGTTTTTTGTCTTGTCAAACCATTTTGTGCCGTCACAATTTTATAATGTAAATTATAATAAATTTAAACAAATGGTATGCCTAAATCTTTATTATAATTAAAAATAGTTATTTACACTAACTGATAAAAAAATAACATTGTAACAAATACAAAACTAATTTTACAAGTAATTGTATGATTAGAGGTGTCCCTCTATAAACTGTATGTTTCTTGGGATGAAAATAAAGTATTTTATTTTATTTATTTATTTATCTATGTCAACATCTATTCTTTTTCTACATTTTAAAGGTCTTTTTTTTAACTTTTTGAATCTGTCAAAACTTCAAAGCCGGTATAGTAGGTAACTGGTTTATCATTTTAATATCAAATTTATTATAATTTTGATTTGTATATTTGAAAAACAATAAATATAACCAATTTTTTGTGCCTAAACCTTAATTATACAACTGCTATTATTTTTTAATTAATAAATAATACAGCAATATTTAAATATTTTTAAATTTTTTACGTTTACTAAACAGTCATGAGATGTCGTTACTTGTGACCATTCTTAACCAAGAGTAGGAATATTCTCGCACAGTATTGCAGAAAAACATCCTTTCTATGATCAAAAATTACACTAGAATGTTACTATTCTTAAGTAGTCGTAGAGAAAAATTAATAGTATATTATGTATCAAGTTTGATAAACGCTATTTTATACACGAATTTAAATTTTAAATTAATGAGTGTATAGAAAAGTTTATAAAAGAGGTGCATACTATACTTTTTCTACGACAAATACTTATTATTATCTTAAAATGATTTAAATCAAAAATTTGTATAGAGCGCCATCTATGAAACAATAGGGGAATCTGTGTGTCAGCGTCAAATGTCAAATTTTTACATTTTATGAACACAATTATAAAGGTTATAAATCGAAATGTATTTCTTGAAAATTGACAGTTTTTCACAGTGAAAGTAAAGAAAATGTTTTATGAGCACTTTACAGCGAAGTCCGTGCCCGAATTTAAGTTATAGTTAACTGCCGGCGAAATTAAAAGGTCAGTGCAATGTTCATATAAATTTTTCAAATATTGGCGTTAAGAAACTATTTAATACTTTTGTATTTTTGTATTGAGATAATAAAATAATTTTCACATTTAGTATTATTTTACAAGAAAGGCACTTTATTATAACGATTGTATGACATTTGACAACTGTCAACTAACTTAAAACTAACTTCAGCCCGTGACTAAAAACCTGTTGCTAACTTCAGCCCGTTACTAAAGCGCCATAAAGCCACAACTTGTCAATGTGTATTTAAAAGGTCACTTAGTGTCATGGAAACATGTACGATAAAGGGCGTTTTAGAGGTGGAAGTAGAAAAAAAACTTAAACATACCTGCATTTCTGCCAATCTCGACATGATGTCGCAATTATGTCACCCAATTTGTTACGCTAAATAATTATTGTAGCATTCTAAAACAAAAGAAATAACGTCAATTGGTCGCAATTAAACAAGAAACTAGCTATAAGGCGATCGCCATATATGTACAGGGTGTTTTATTATAAATGAAACACCACAATAAAACCTTTATTAGAAGCTTTATGCTATTATGGTTTCAAAATTTTTTTTTTAAACACCCTGTATATTTGTGAATATTCAAATAGAGTTTTTTTTCTGGTTTAAATAATATATAGTTTGTGTTAATGTCTTCATGCCTAGCAAAAAATAAAAATTGAAAAAAAAGTTTCAATGTATTTCTCGTGTTGTAAAAGTCAATATTAGGTAAAAATTAAATTTACACTGTGACTCATCAGGTGTTTTTTATATCACATGCTATGAGAATCGATTATTAATTAAAGTTTTAATATGTACTGTCCTTTCAAGGTAAGCATACAGTCTGGGTACTACCTATTACAAGTACACATGTTTATTTATACACTAAGTGGTCGCGTATACACAATTATAATTAATTGTTATTATTAATGTATACATACTTATAAGCGGCAGTGGGCATATGTGGGCCTAAACGAGATAGATTAGATGTGTTATAACATTAATATGTCGTTTATTAAACTTATCGTAATGTAATGGCATTAACCTCTTTGTATTTTTTTTACTTATTGGTTATATAACCTGCAAGTTTATTTAAACCATTTGGTTATTTTATTATTTTCGTTTTGGTTTAAATTCGGTTAATGTAACACATTACAGTAAAAATTACCAAAAGAAGTTTAATTAAACTAACTTCTTATTTTTAAAGAGAAGTGTTTAGATATTTGTAGATAAATAATTATTTACAACTTTGTTAACTCTTCTATAGAAAGTTAAAGAAAGTCTATATATTTTTTTAATTATTTCTTTTACGTTTATATATAAAGCTGTATTGAGACTAATTTTTCTATGCAAGTTAAAATACATAATATATTATATTTGGTAAATATAACTTCTTGGTTAAAAAATATATACAAATTAACCAAAATAGTGGCTAATTTACCAAAAAGTTAAAATAAACCAAAATATGTTTAAAAAACAACTACTCTTAACCATTTCAAAGGTTAAAATTAGAAGTTAATATATCGTTATGTAACTTCTAAAATAACTTACCTTTTAACTTATAAGTAATATTACTAACTAGTTAAATATTTTATTTATATAATTATTTGTTATTGAATTTAAATTTATAAAAAAACTGATCAAGTAGGTCGTGTCAATACGAGATGTCTCGATATAAAGGTAGTTCACCCTGTTTTTCACCTATTGTCCCACATACCCTAATGGACTGTTTATTTATTAACAAATGCACTGAAAATTGCTTATGTTACCTTAACATTATTTAAAGGAAAAATATTAAAACGATTGTTATGGAAGAAACAAAATAAACAAGGCATCCCCAGCTAGCCAAAGTTATCATGTTTGACAGATGCATTTTTGTCAAAAAATTAAATCTCAAAATAATCAAAACTTATTTATATGAAGAGCTACAACGTTGGTTAAATTAGAAAAAGGTTACGTAATTATGATCTATTAAAATTAAATTTATAAATTGTAAAGAAGCTAGTGGTTTTTTAAATATTAAAAAAACTTTAAATAAAAAAGATATTATTTTAATAGATATCTATTGTTTTCAGGAAATCTCCTATTAAGGAGAAGGCTAAATATTACAATATACTAGGTATAAAGAAATTGCTGAAGTAACACAATTTTAACTTTGTCTTTTGTTATCATTAATTAAGGAATGCTGTGTTACACAAAACATACCTTTTTAGATGAACATTTCTGTATAAATTTTTGAGTCATTTTCCAGGAAAGTCTAAGTTTGATTTGACATTGAAAATGAAATTGTTTTATTTGGTGGAATGTATTGAGTTTTATTAAAAACAATGGGAGTTAAATAATGAATAATTTTTGCATAAAAAAATATAATTAAATGTTGTCCTTATCATGCATTTTTAGGGCGAAGTAGTTACCTGCCATAGAATAATTAATATTAATGTGAATGAACCTATTACGTGACATAGGGTGGTTCGTATTATATAAGTTGTGTTAAATGGGCTAATAGCTTTAATGATTGTAGGTATTATATTGACACAATAATATAGTAATTTTTATCATAACTAGGTTAGTGAAACAGCCCTGGTCGATAATATTAAATATTTAAAAGTTTATTATGTTTTAATAAAAAAAACACTAAAATAATCATTTCTTTTTTTGCACACTGTATGGCGGAAAGTAAAATATGTAATTTTGCAAAAGAAATACCACATTTCTAAACAAATTAAAACAACATTGCTAATTATAATTATTTAAAGCTCTTTAAAATCGATGTTAAACTAAAAGATTAGATTACCAAAATACAGTTTTCAAAACATTTTTTTTGAAGTTAACTTACCTTTAGATACAAAACATGAAGTAAACTATGAGAGTCACAAATACCACCTGTGAGTAGTTTATTTAGTTATTATTTCAGAAGTCTTGGTACTTTTGTTTCCGACTACTTTGTTTTGTGATTGTAGACACGCGAAGAACGCTGCTATTCGTAGCTGGCCGCAGACTGCTTGATTAGCTCGACGAACAACAAAACTTGGGTTTGTTTCGTATGCATACCATGGTACGATGGTATAACGGGTGTCTGAGTATCACGAGGCGGGGTCAAAACAAGATACAACCGTTTTGCGATTTTTCACAATTGTTTGAGAGAAAGATAATACAAATTTAAAAATCAGGAAATTTTTTTTATTGACATTTTTAAACTACCTACTTTGACTTTATACAAATACTTACAATAAACTTACAAGAACTATTAATGCAATTGTATAAATACCAAAATAAACACTTCAGGGAAATAAAATCATGAATGAATGGTAAAGGATAAGAATCTAATACCTATATATAATGTAAATAATTAATTTACGTATCATTAGATAAAGCCAATCCCTTAAATCAATAGCATAAAGAAACAACACCTTGGGTATGACCACCCACACAATATTAAAAATATCTTATCATTCCCCGAGAACAATGTAAAACATAAAAAACAAAAAGATGCGTTTTTAATTCCTTTTTTAGTTGTGGGTATGCAACCCATATATAAATACTTAAACGTGTGTACTGGGTTGCATATATTTAGCAGTAAAATTAAATTTTTTTGATAATTTGTTCAACTAAAAATCAATACCTACATTTTTTTAATATTAGCTCTAACTTTTAAGATTAGTTATTTTTAATTTTAAAATTTTTAATTAATTTTTATTTTAAAAATATATTTTTAAAATAAAAATTAGTTAAAATTTAGGGAAAAGAATAGGCTTTTTTAGTACTTATTTTTAAAAAATTTCAGAAAAAAGGAAAAATATTTTTATATCAATTTTTCTTAGTCAAAAAATTTTGTTTCGCTTTTGAAACCACCTCTATCTTAAAGCACAAAAAAAAATAAGAAGGATATATTATTTGTCGATTAAAAAAAAAGTAATTTATATTTTTTTTATCAACCAAAAAAACTCTCACAAAAGAAAAAGATTTAATTTTGTTATGCCTTTTTTTTAATGCAAAAATAATTTGAAATTCCAAATATTTTGGATTTTTTTAATAAAAAAAAAGAATATTAATTTTTAAAATTTTAAAAATAAAATATTTTTTTAAAGGAAAACTGTAATTAAGTAAATATTTTGTTAAATTTACCTTAAAAATTTACTTTGAAGTAAAACTTTTTTTAAAGTTATTTAATGAGTTTTATTTATGTTATTTTTACCTATTTTAATAACCCTTAAGTTTCAACACTTTAAAGTATTATGAGGGACGTAATTTTTACGAAAGAAATTTACTTATAAGTATATTTCACCTAAAGGAAAATTTAACGATAATTTTAACGTCAGAATTTTTACTGAATGGTAAATGTTACTCATAAGTCATAATTTTACGATATTAAGACCACTTTATAACCGTAAATAATTTTAATTACTATTAGTGGTAATAACTATTAATATTGACTAAACAACGAAAAATAAGCTTAGAGTGAAAAATAAAAAAAAATTTTCAGGTCGCCATAATAAGTTTTTAAGATGATATCCATTGACAATTTAAGTTATATTTTTTAATTTTACTCTAGGGTGGCCTTTATTACTTTGTAAGTACCATTTTGTAAAATATAAATTAAAAGAACAAAGAAATTACGAATGTCAATGTTTTAGAAAGAGAGCAAACAGTTGGTAATTATAGCGTTATTTTTACGTAAATTTGTGGTATTTATATTGTTTTTATTACGTTATTTTCTATAGTAGATCACAAAGGTTATTATGTAGGTAAAATTACGAAATAAACCATTCCCCAAATTTGGTAATTTTTCGTATATATACCGTTATAAAACGGTTTTGGTTAACCGTAAAAAAAAAATTATTTTGAGTAGATACAGTGTTTTTGATACACCCTGTATTATAATTATTTTCTTTTGAGTGTTTTGGTCAAATATATAATATTCGGATATATCCAAATTTCAAAATTAAAAAACTTTTACATAGGTTTTGGCGTGTAAAAAATTACTATTAATACTTTAAGAGACCACACACTAAGAGATTTGGGGCATATTTTCGAGAGAACTGCCTTAGGTTCAGTTTTTAGTCAGGTTTCTCGTGTATAATAATTAGTAAATTATTTAATCAACTACCCGTGTTTAATTAAAATACATCTCTAAGACCACATAAAAAAATTTATAAGTAAAAATATAATAGATATATATAAAACTCATAATAATTAATTTATCAAAAAATGGTACCTATAATTTTAAAATAACAACATAAAGAATCTATAACAATGTCACGATGACGTGTATAAAATAAGCTTAAGCATTTTTAAAAATGCAAGGGATGCATTAAAATTTTACTGCTACAAAATTTGTCAAGCAGTCACTAAATTGCGAGTAAAACGAAATAATGCTAGCCCAATGGCTGGCAATTGTTGTTATAGTTTTTAATTTTTTTAATAATTGTGCACAGTGTCATCTATTAACAGGTAAAATGAATAAAAATTTGTTCAGTATACTGTATATCTATCTACAAAGTTTAAATTTTAGAAGATGAATACAACGAATTGCCCCCCATATATCACATAGACGATTATAAGAATTGTATGAAAGAAAATAATTTATATTGTAGTGTTACGTTAATATTGAAGCCCAATAATAAGTCCAGCAGAATTTGGAAAAATATCCAGGTATTTATATCTCGCATTTAATATCATAATATAATGTTGTTTTTCAGAAAACAATTGATAACAAAAACTACTATAACCACAATGAAATATTCCATGCTATATGCGTGGAAAAAAAGTGCCCAGACTACAAGAAGGACCATAACTTAAAAAACGAAATATCCCAATGTTTCACGGAGAAATTTAAAAAAGTAGAATTAAATGCTGAAGTGGTCGATATAGATTGCGATTTTCACCTTTACAACACAGGTTATTTCGATATTTGTTTAGTGTAAGGGGTATCAAAAAAAAATAAAAAAAACATTAATTTATTTTATTTTAGGTTCACTTTGTTTTCGTACGTCATATTCGTCATATGCATGTCGATTTTTGATTATAGAAAAAGTAAAACAAACGTTAAATATTTGACCGATTACAAAGGTATGAGTTGAGTAATTTAAAACAAACTTCATGTACTTAGGTACTTTTTTTTAGAAAAAGTTTTGATGAAGCCTTTTTCTCTGTATACGAATTGGAAGAAGTTAAGCAGAATCAGTCAGAATCCAGACTTTCAAAAGTTAAAGTGCTTACAAGGGATACGATTTTACAACATGCTTTTGATTATTTTTTGTCACACATTTTCCAGCTACATTGGGGGGTACATACAGAACACCATTTATTTTGAAAGGGTAAAAGTTTTTGCTTCAAACAACAGTACCAATATTATATTTATTATTTTTAGTTTCAAGAAAATATATTGAGGCACTTGTTGAGAAATTTACTAGTGTTTTTGGTACAAACATTTTTTCTATTCTCGGCCTGGTTATTATCATTTCATTTTTTCCAAATATTGGGAAATCCAAAGGTTTCATTGAAAAGATATGTTACTCTGACATTTCTTAACAGATATTTAAGGTAATATATGTACAGCTTTTCTAAATGTTAGTAAAATAAAATTACGTTTTCTAGTAATGTATCTAAACATGATGTTATCAAGAAATAACCTTTGAATTTTTATAATTTTACTCCCAAGCAGAATTTTAAGTTTAAATAACTACAAATTTACTACTAAGTCAACTTTAAAGTATTTTTTACGGTTTTATAACGGTATAGATATGAAAAATTACCAAATTTGGGGAATGGTTTATATTGTTATTTTACCTACATAATAACCTTTTTGATCTACTATAGTAGAATAAGAGAATAACGTAATAAAAACAATATAAATACCACAATTTTACGTAAAAATAACGCTATAATTACTAACTGTTTGCTCTCTCATTCTAAAACATTGACATTCGTAATTTCTTCGTTCTTTTAATTTATATTTTACAAAATGGTACTTGCAAAGTAATTAAGGCCACCCTAGAGTAAAATTAAAAAATATAACTTAAATTGTCGAAACTAATAATATTTTGCATTAAAACTCGAACGCACATTATTTTATTGATACAAATAAGCACGATACATCTTAAAAATTATATGCCCTCTAAATATTTTACAGTTTTAAGAAAAATTATTGCTTGGGTAAAAATTCAACAAAACTTAAAACCTACAAAATTTTATAAAATCATCATTTTTAATAACTAAAACTTTCCTTATTATATTTTAGAAAAATATTTATGAAAAAATATTATATAAATGTTTAGATAAGTAATGGATGCCATCTTAAAAAACGCATTATTGCGACATAAAAACAAGTTTTATTTTTCCTTGTTTAGTCATTATTAATAGTATTTATTACCACTAATAACCCTAAAAAATACCAGGCGAATAGGAATTATTTACGGTCATAAAGTGGTCTTGATATCGTAAAATTATGACTTATGAGTAACTTTTACCATTAAGTAAAAATTCTGACGTTAAAATTACCGTTAAATTTTCCTTTAGGTGAAATGCACTTATAAGTAATTTTCTTTCGTAAAAATTACGTCCCGCATAATACTTTAAAGTGTCGAAACTTGAGGGTTAATAAAATAGGTAAAACTAACATAAAAATAACTTTAAAAAAGTTTTACTTCAAAGTAAATTTTTAACGTTAATTTAACAAAATATTTACTTTAATTAAGTAATATTGTCTCAAAAAATTTATCTAAATTAAGTATATTTTAGGATTATTCCCCCCTTATTGGTAATGATAGCATTTGGGTATAGCACATTGATTTTTTCCTTATTTTTTGATGGTCCTGTGAAGGACCAATTCTCCTATGTGGAATACAAAAGATGTCAAAAAAATTGGTGGAGCACTTTGCTGTTTGTCAATAATATTTGCGTCAATCACGACATGGTGCCTATATATTTAGTTATTTGGGGTAAAATGGAATAATATTTTTTTGTTTTTAGTGTTATTTTATAAGTTGGTATCTCTCAGCCGATACACAGTTGTACTTGATTTCGCTGGTAATTTTTGCAATAATATGGAAAATGAAGAAGAGACCTTTCAGTGTTATAAGTTTTTTTGTTCTTATAGCACTATTCATTCCTGGAATAGTGTGTTACATATATGATTTGGATATCATTTTCAGGATCACCCCAGAGTAGGTATTAAAATAAAATAAGTAAATAATAAGTAAAATATTTTGCATTTATTTTGTAGAAACTCAAAAATCAACAGCTACATTTCCTTTAATTTTAATGCAACATATATTTCAACATATTCCAATGCTGCTACGTACATGGTTGGTTTAGGGTTTGGATATATGTTTCACAAATTTTATGATAAACCCATTTTTACAAACAAAGTTAGTAATCAGAATTTATAAATCTCTATACATAAGGATACATAACTTTGTTTTTTAGTCAAGAGTTCTTTTATGGTGGCTATCATTTTTGGGGTTACCAGCTCTAGTTTTAACATTGGCATGTTTCGAATATTCCAGAGTTACCTCGTCAATGCTAGTTTGTATTTTACGTCCCTTGTATGCTATAGGAATAGGCGTAGGGATTTTTGGTATGTCTGAAAAACTAGGTGGTGTCATTAGGAAAATATGCGAATGGGAACCAGCGTTACTTCTGGGAAATATAACGTACAGCACCTATGTAGTGCATTATTCTTTTGTTTTCTACAGAACATCCACAGCTACAGCGCCGTTGTATGTTTCAGATTGGATACTGGTAAGAAATTGTTCTTTTTGTAACATTGACAAGACTTTATATTTTTGGATTATTTTCAAAAATTAGTAATGGCGCATATAAAAATATTTACATTTTTTTAAAGTGGATGAAATTATCTAACATTTGATGTATTTATTTTTAAAATTGGTTACAAAATAACAAAACTACAGACTGTCAAAGTTGGTCTTAATTTTAAGAGAACTAAAATTGACACGACTTTATATTTTATGGATTATCTCGAAAAATTAGTAATGGGACATATAAATATATTTACATTTTCCAAAAGTGAATGAAATTATCTAGCATTTGATGTATTTATTTTTAAAATTGGTTAAATAGTAACAAAACTACAGACTGTCAAAGTTGGTTTTAATTTTAAGAGAACTAAAATTGACACAAGTTTATGTTTTGTGGATTATCTCGAAAAATTAGTAATGGGACATATAAAAATATTTACATTTTCTTAAAGTGGATGAAATTATCTAACATTTGATGTATTTATTTTTAAAATTGGGTAAAAAATAACAAAACTACAGACTGTCAAAGTTGGTCTTAATTTTAAAAGAACTAAAATTGACACTACCTTATATTTTATGGATTATCTCGAAAAATTAGTAATGGGACATATAAATATATTTATATTTTCCAAAAGTGAATGAAATTATCTAACATTTGATGTATTTATTTTTAAAATTGGTTACAAAATAACAAAACTACAGACTGTCAAAGTTGGTCTTAATTTTCAGAGGACTAAAATTGACACAAGTTTATATTTTGTGGATTATCTCGAAAAATTATTAATAGGGTATATAAAAGTATTTACATTTTATAAAAGTTAATTAAATTACCTATCATTTGATCTATTAATTTTTAAAATTGGTTAAAAAGTAACAAAACTACAGAGTGTCAAAGTTGGTCTTAATTTAAGAGAACTTTATATATAATTTTGTTTCAGTTTCAGTCGTTCATTCACGACACCCTTCTATCGTTTTTTTTTGGATTCGTGATGCACATTTTCATCGAAATGCCCGCCTTGCAGCTTCAAAAATTGTTCGTCCCCCAAATAAGGGGGGCCAAACTGAATCACGCGAAAAAGAGTAGCTAGTGTTATTTATGTTTTAAAAACATTATTATTATTATTACTAAAAAATTATACCTACGAAATTTCCTTTGTTTTATTTTTCCTAGACATTTGAATAAATTACCCAAAATTATAAACAAAATGTATGTTTTTGCGATGTTTTTATTATAAAGTAATTTACCTGTTTTATTAATAATTAAGTATTTTTACAGGTATACCTTTATTACCACTTATAAGTGGTAATAAACAATTGCAATTAATAAAATAATAATTATTGTTGAAAAACATTGTAAAATCCAGAGGCGTCTCATTGTATAAATAATGAATATTTTTAATTTGTTTAAGTCATAGAAATAAAATTGTATTTTTTATTAACTTCTTCCAAACAACTATTTTATAAATAAATAATAAATGAGATATATATGTAAATACAATTTTGTATCATATTTTTTATATACTTCTGTAGATTTTTTGTGACAAAATGTCAATAATATTCTGAAAAATCGCAGTTGATATAAGATGGATGATTTTCTATGATTATTGTACTTATTAGGTGCATTATAGTAGAACGATTGCACAATCGAAAGCGTTTGTCCCAAATTCATTTATATCAAAGGACATCGAGACACTTATAACTATCGTCATTATTTTTACTAGTTGTTACTCATATTTTACATTTATTTACATTTACCCCACTTAAGGCCAGTTTAATAGCGGTATATATTACTTTTTATACGAAAAAATACTTTAGTTTGCTCGTCAATTGTTTAAACTTTAAACGTTACAAGGTTGCCGCGCATTTGTTATTTTTATTATTAAACACAAAATTAGCCTAATGTCTTTCGATTTATAATTGTTGTTAATTACGTAACAACAATAAAGTAATTATTGCTGATATTACAACAAATATATTTGTTTTCGGTTAAATGCTTTTAATTGTGCGCTTTTTACTATGGCAAGTGCTCCACTAACATGTTCATCGAACATGTACAAATTCGGTTTTTTCATCTGTCTTCTTTCGGCTAACTATGCCCATGCCAAAGTTACAGGTAGGTAATAATCTATTCTTAATATCTATTTTCTTGTTGAAAAATTTTAGATGAGGAATATGCCTCGATTCCCGAGCTCTTTCACATGGACAACTACGATAAATGCATGCTAATGGGAGAAAAGGCATTCTTCTGTTCCACGCAATACAATTTGGAGCCTCTAAACCCTCAAAACGCCTCAAAAACATGGCGGATAATAGACGTACTCTACACGTTAAACGAAAAAAATCTCAACTTTAATTCGTTTTTAATTTAAGGAATTGGTGTCCACTAAACAAAACTACAGACACGATAGACTAAGGCATTTCATATGCGTACCGGAAACTTGCCCCAACGTTCCCATTATGGATGAAAGTGATCCGAAACTTGGAGAAATGTTGGAGGAATGTTACAACGAAAAATACAAACACTTGGGACTTAAAGGCAAAGTTTCCTTTGTACAGTGTGATACCATACATACCGATAGATATCCCATAGGCGTTTTCGAAATTGTTGTTGCGTAAGTACTGTAATTTTAAATATAAAATTTTTTTACTTTTAGCAATTTGTAATAAATTATATATTTTTTTTAGGGTAGTTAGTATATCGTATATTGCATTTGTCATTTTTGCTACGATTTGGGAAGGAATTTACAGATACAAAACACCAGAAGAATACAATACTTTCGTTAAATCAACCTGTAAGTATATACTGTAGATGGGATAGTTTTGGATTTTATTAAACAATAATAAACTGTAGATGTCGCATTGACTCTCCACAGAAAACATGTACAGGGTGTTTATATACTGAGGCAAAGGCAGGGTTTCGTCCTCATTTAAAGGCGAAGAAATTTTTTTAAACCCAACTTAAACTTAAACTCACCGTAATATCCATAATGACTAAATTCACATAAATCACAAGTTCAATAAACAAAATATTTCGTAAATAACCACAGATTTGTTCTTTAAACAGTTCAGAATTTTATAACCAAAACAAACCTAAAGAAGGAATCTGTATTTATTTTATTGGTTATTGTGATGGCTACAAGATGGCGATAGTGTTAAAATGTGTTTATTTTAGAATAGAAATATAATTTCGATTAAATCGATTTATTATAAGAAAAATAATAACATTTATTATTGAATTTTGATAAACGTGTGAAGTATAATTTATCTAAAATTCTGCAACAGTGTTGCCACAACACCTGCTTATTTCGCGTATGCTAATACGAGAGAAGGAGACAACTATGATATCGCATAATAGAACGAGACAACAAGGCTAACGCCAATCGTGAGTCTAAATTAGTTCAGGCATGCTTCTGAGCCAATCATCTAGCTATAAATATTAGTTTAAATTACGGTCGTTTCAAATTTAAATAATTTAAATGTTGCTGGGTATTCCACACGGAGAGAAAAATTTTGCTAAAATAACTATCCAAAGTATTGTTAAATGACGTATCGTGAATTTAGTCAACTGTTTTATTAAACTGAGGATTTGTATGGCTAAATTGGCTATACAGATCCTCAGTTTAATAAAACATTTGACTAAATTCACTATACGTCATTTAACAATACTTTGGATGGTTATTTTGGCAAAATTTTTCTCTCCGTGCACGTATAAAATCAATCAATTTTATTGACTATTTCACAATTCATGTAATCCAAATATTAAAAATTTATAGTAGGTATATTATAGAAAGTAAAATATTTAAATTATACTTCATTTTTTTAATTCTCTATGATGAGGCACTGCCTCCCCTGACGGGCCGCCACTGGTTTATATATACAGTTACATTTTTTAGCCGGCAAAATAATGTCAATGTTTTCCCTGACAAGAAATTGGATTCGGTTGAAGGCGGTTAAAGAAACCCCAGACGTGGAAAGACTGAGATGTCTGCAAGGCATCAGAGTGTACAATTTGGTGCTCGTCATTTTTTCGCACACAGTTCTCGCCAACTTGGCAATACCGGTCTCCAATACCAAGTACCCCGAAACGGTAATTTTATTTAAAAATCCGCCACCAGAAATTTTACGATTTTGATGATTTTTTTAACAGTTAATTTAAGCATATACAGTAGACTGGGCCAAAAAAATCAACAAAATTGACTTAAGAATATTTTTTGAAGAAAATTGAATGCTCTACAAAAAAGGTTTGATTGGAATTTCCCGTCAGATGAACCCTTTTCTTACAATCATGCCTTAAAAATTGGTATAGTTTTACAATTTGATCTTTTAACTTTGGAATTTTGTAATTCATGTACCCTGAAAAAAATCGATAAATATTCTTATGGGAAATCAAATGCTCTACAAAAAAGTCTTTTATCGTTTTTGGCTAAATTCACTTCATCAAAAGTTATTCAAGGGTAAATTTGAAGTCAAAACGAAATTTTAACCTTGAATAACTTTTGATTGAGTGAATTTAGCCAAAAATGTTAAGAGGCTTTTTTTGTAAAGCATTTGATTTCCCATAAGAATATTTATAGGTTTTTTATGGGTACTGATTTTTACATGAATTACAAAATTCCAATTTAAAAGATCAAAATGTAAAACTATACCAATTTTTAAGGCATGATTTTAAGGAAACTGTTCATCTGACGGAGAATTTCTCTTTAACCTTTTTTGTAGAGCATTTAATTTTATTAAAAAAATATTTTCGAGCCAATTTTGTTAAACTCAATATCTGTGACAAAAACTTGCTGAGGAAAAAAAATCTAAAATTGCGATGATAGACTTCTTAATAAAAATATTATGGACTCAAACTTTCACAATAATTTTTTTTTGTTACCCCAAACCATATTTTCGATATACTTTTCAAAAAAAAAATAGTTGATTTTTTTGGCCCAGTCTAATATACAGGGTGCAAAATTAAGTCGAAAAATCACCAAATTTGGTGGTCGGTTTTAAATTTCAAAAAATCTCTTATCAAAGATGATGGGTAAAAAATTTTAGGTAACGGAGAAATTCCTCAACATATTCTTGTCCAGCGGTCCTTTATGCGTTTCAACGTTCTTCCTAATGGCAGGTTTTTTGCTATCCTATGGAATTTTCGACTACACCCATGGAAAAAAAGAATTAAAACCGGAATTTTTAATTATGGCTTTTATAAACAGATGTGTTAGGTACTTATGGGTGAATACATTTAGATGTCCCCCAAGTGAAAATGATTATTTTTTATTTTTTGTTGTTTCACTGTTAGTCTAGAATGGGGTTTTTGGGAAGCCACCAGGTCTAGTAATAACATAACATAAGTGGTCCTGCACTAATGCAAGAATTTTAAGAAATCATACATTTTGAATATTACAGCTTCACGGAGGTTAGGATTTCGTATGTTTTTTTTTAAACATCCCTTTGTATATTTAAAATAAGTTATTGTGTCTTTTGACACCTTAATATTTTTAAAAAATACAATTGTACATATATGTATTTTTTTTATAAATATTTTATGTATACATAAAATATTTATAAAAAAAATCTACTTTCTGAGATATTACACTTCACAGTGAATAGGTTTTGAAATAGCAAATTAATGAACTTAAACTTTTGAATTATAAAACAGCAACACTCTCATCTGCATATAAATTCTAACTGACCTTCAGGAATCACATGCATCTATAATGTCGTAAACAGAGGTTTTTGCCTATAAATATATTTAAAATGATTACAGCGCCATCCGTTGCATAAAATTTAAAGCAAAAACAGATTCACGGAGGATAGAATCAATTTTTGTAAAACCTACATAAATGGTTATAAAAATTATTTTTTTTAATTTTTAATAATATTTTATATCTGACAGATTGCTTTGGATGTGTTTAATTTACTTAATGAACTGATATTTTTAGTGTGCTTTTACTACCTCAGATATTTGAAATCATATAGGTTAACCTAGAAAGAGTAACAGTCACGGAGGATAGGTTTTAGACTTTTAAAACATTGTAAAAATAATTAATTGCGGTTAAAACTCATTTAGTTTTATTAAATATTACGGGGGACATTTCGTGAGATTCGCCCTTATCGTTTTTTTTTATTCAACCTAATTCTTTTTAAAACGCATTTTTGTAGACTTACACCCACCCTAGCCTTTGTTTTGATTCTTCATGCCACATGGTTGCCACATATATCAAACGGTCCTCTGTGGGATCATATTATAGGTTATGAATACAGAGCCTGTAGAGCCAACGGCTGGACAAATTTGCTGTATCTACAGACGTATGTGAACAGCGAAACAATGGTAAGACAATTTTTTACGATTAAATCAAGATTAAAATTAAATAAAAAAAAATTTAAAAAAAATTATTTATATATAGTGTATGATGCAAACTTGGTATCTAGGCGTAGACACCCAATATTTCGTGCTGGGTCTCATCTTGATTTACTTTATGAAGAAAAACGAAAAAAATATTCCACTAATTTTGGGTTCTTGTCTGGGTTTGCACATGATCGTTACGTTCATAATGAATTATGTGAATAATTTCGATGCTACGTTGATGCCTGAACCCGAGTAAGTCTTGATAAAATAAAATTATATTTTTTCAAAATATTTTTTAGAACCTTTTACCTCATCCAATTTTCCAAAAACCCTCAATGGCATTCGCAACTAACAGCGTTTTATGGAAATATTCCCGGACTAGTTATTGGAATGGCATATGGCTATGCCTACTATAAGTACAGGGGCGTACAACTATTCACAAAAATGGTAACTACGTAAATATACTGCGATAGTTTCTGTATCTTGAAAACAAGATTTTTAAACTATTTTATTTGATTCTATAGAATAATATATTATTTTACTTTACTAATTTGCAATTTCTTATTTAAAACACGACAATCATTTTTATTTTACAATTAATTTTATCTACACATACAATTAATTCTAAATTTTTTATTATACGAGGAGTGTTCAGAAAATATCGGGAATTTTCGTTTTTTGAAACAAATATTTATTTATTCGTCCACATTAATGTTGTCTCCTTCAAAATAGTCCCCATTGGATATTATGCCCATGTGCCAGTTCTTCTTCCAATACTCGAAACACTTCTAAAACTCGATCTTTGGGATAGCCTTTAGTTCTTTCAGCGATGCGCTTTTAATGTCATCTATTCTTGCAAAACGACGGCCCTTTAAGGTTCTCTTTATTTTTGGGAATAGAAAAAAGTCAGACTGAGGCATGTCTGGCGAATATGGAGGCTGGGGCATCATTACAGTATTGTTTTTGGCCAAAAATGTTTTTGAAAATTTAACAATTTTGGAACAAATTTTGCTGCCACGCGTTTCATACCCAAAATATTCGAAAAAATTTCATGGGATGAGCCAATCGATATACCAACATCATCAGCGACTTCTCTGATGGTTTATAACCATTTCTTCCACTTTTTCCATGTTTTTATCGGTTGTTAATGTGCTTGTGCGTTCGGGGCGTTCGTCATCTTCAACGTCTTCAGGGCCTTCTTGGAAACTCTTATACCACTTGTAAACTCTTGTTTTACTTATAGCAGACTCACTATAGGCCTTTGTTAACATTTCACAGAATTTATTTCAATTTTTTAAGCAAAATTGGATACAAATTCTTTCATCCATTTTTTTTAACGAACGAAAAATCTCCGAGCTCAAAAAACACGTCTAACCTTAGCGGCTGCCACAGACAAAGTAAACAATGAAAACAGCTAAAGTTTTTATCATACTTCGGGGCATGTATACCAACATAATAAATAAAATTTTATGACAACCGGACCCTCCGAACCCGCGAAATTTAACAATTCCCGTTATTTTTTGAACACAACTCGTAGTTTTGAGTACAATTTATTGTTTTAATTGTGATCTAATAGATTTTTAATATTAGTAGTAATAATTTTTTTTTATTTTTGACACACTCTGTATAGCAATGGCTAATCTAACATTGGAAGTTGTAGGGTGGAACAAGTTATTTATAACTCTCTAAAAATGAATTAGACAAAAATTACTAATTTAATAGTTATTAGTAGCTGCTTTTTTACTTGTACCATGGTTAACCATGGAATACCATGGTATTCCAATTGTTATGTAAAATTGACCCCTGAATCCGAAAATGTTGTCAAAAGTTAAAAAAGTAAAACAGTTTTTGAGATATAGTCAATTTTCCATTTAATATGGAATTGACTATATTTCAAAAACTGCTCCACTTTCATAATTTTTGACGGTATTTTCGGATTCAGGAGACAATTTTACATTAGAATTGGCTGTTATTGGATACCATGGTATTCCATTGTTAACCATGGTACAAGTGAAAATAACTATTAAATTAGTCATGTTTGACTAATTCATTTTTATAGAGTAGTTATAAATTAAAACTACTCTATAAAAATGAATTATAACTTATAAATAACTTATAATTGTAAAAATGATAATATTTTTAGCGTCATTACGTATTATGGTGGTTTGTGGTCCTGTTCTTCCCACTGGGAATAATAATATTCCCGGGTTTAATAATATACAATCCCGAAATCCCGAAAAACATATTTTGGGCGTCATTTTACGTAGCCACTTGCAGGACCGTCTTCACCACGGGAATCGGTTTCGTAATTTTTGGGGTATCTCAAGGAATCGGCTGTAAGAGTATAATGAGTCATTCCAAATGAAATCATCCATCATCATGTTTCATATGGAATGACTCGTATTGCAATATAAAAATGCAATATTTCTAATAATTATTATTATTTTAGGGATTGTTAAGTATGTTTGTGAATGGAGACCGACATACATTTTGGGCAGAATTGTGTACAGTTCGTTTTTGATACACGTGGCTTTGATTAAGATTAAGCCCGCTATTAAAAGGACACCCTCATATGCAGATGACTTTACCCTGGTAAGAAAATTCTTTATGTTATACTACACTGTTAAAAATTTCTATTGTAATTTTACTAAACATGTTTAGTAATTTGGAAAAATTACAAAACGACTATTTGACAAACCACTATTTTTTTCAATTTTAATAAATTATGAAAGTGTACATGTAATTCATGAAATATTTATTTTTTATTTTTTAGACCACTGAACTTCTTTCGGACATTTTCGTCGCATTTTTAGCCGGAACACTTTTAACACTGTTCGTGGAAATGCCCATTTCCGAGTTGCAGAAACTTATGGTGCCACAAAAAGAAGCCAAAGCCAAAGAAGTCGCACCTGTTAAGCCAGCCGAAGAGAAAAAAAAATTATAGACATTTTAAATAAACTATTTTGACTAATTGCTGTTTTGATTTATCAAAATATATATTTTTAGGTTGTCGATGAGCCCATAGAAAGAAGTATTTAAAGTATTCAATTAACAATTATATCTAGGGTACAAAATTTTATTAGCCTAATATAGAGAAGTTATTAAAGGGTCTATCAGAGTTTTACTTTGATCAAATTAAGACTTTGGCATTTTTTTTTTGACAATTTTTTTGCCAATTAATGATACATGTATATGTGCTATAGCATATTTTGTTTGACGGATAAATTATAAAACCTACTTGGGATCCCTTAAATTAAAAATAATAAATTATTTAAAATAAATCAATAACATTTTCTTATTTCGTGACAATATTGTTTCAATTATTTAAGAAGTTTGCTTATTCGCAACATTTCAATATTTTACATCATTAATTTTCAAATTTTTAATTACAACTTACTACTTTATTTAATTATAGTTGTACGAGGTGTGTTCAGAAAATAACGGGAATTGTTAAATTTCGCGGGTTCGGAGGGTCCGGTTGTCATAAAATTTTCTTTATTATGTTGGTATACATGCCCCCGAAGCATGATAAAAACTAGCTGTTTTCATTGTTTACTTTTTCTGTGGCAGCCGCTAAGGTTAGACGTGTTTTATGAGCTCGGCGATTTTTCGTTCGTTAAAAGAAATGGATCAAAGAATTTGTATCCAATTTTGCTTAAAAAATTAAATAAATTCTGTGAAATGTTAACAAAGGCCTATAGTGAGTCTGCTATAAGTAAAACAAGAGTTTACAAGTGGTATAAGAGTTTCCAAGATGGCCGTTGAAGATGACGAACGCCCCGAACGCACAAGCGCATTAACAACCGATAAAAATATGGAAAAAGTGGAAGAAATGGTTATAAACTATCAGGGAATTTTTTCGAATGTTTTGGGTATGAAACGCGTGGCAGCAAAATTTGTTCTAAAGTTGTTAAATTTTGAACAAAATTTTTGGCCAAAAACAATACTGTAATGATGCCCCAGCCTCCATATTCGCCAGACATGCCTCAGTCTGACTTTTTCCTATTCCCAAAAATAAAGAGAACCTTAAAGGGCCGTCGTTTTTCAAGCATAGATGACATTAAAAGCGCATCGCTGAAAGAACTAAAGGCTATCCCAAAGATCGAGTTTTAGAAGCGTTTCGAGTATTGGAAGAAGAGCTGGCACATGTGCATAATATCCAATGGGGACTATTTTGAAGGCGACAACATTAATGTAGACGAATAAATAAATATTTCTTTCAAAAAACGATATTTCCCGATATTTTCTGAACACACCTCGTACATGGGGACACGTAATGTTGTGGTAGGTATAAAAGGCAAATTTCCACTTTTGTAGATTAGTTTATTTCCAGGTTATACTCAAGTATTCTCAAATAAAAATATTTTATATATTTAGAAAATTTTTAACATAATATTTTTATCTATGGATCTTATGGAGCATATGTCGTTACCGAGACGGTTTCTGACCGTAATTGCTTTTTGGCCAAACAAAAATGATAAAGAATTTAACAAGATAATGGAAAAATTTAAGAAAGAAGGTAAAGTTCTCTTTTTGCTTGTATTAACTGGTGGTGTCTCTGTTTTATCATACATTGTGCAACCTGCAATAAATAAAATAAAGGGTGCTTGTTTTCACAATAAATTGACTGACCGCTGCGAGTATGGCTTTGGATTTACCCAATGGTTTCCTTTTTTCGATTATGAGAACCATTGGGGTTTGGCTTACGTTTTATTGTCATTCGGTGAGAAAATACAAAAGTGATAATCCGAAGAAAGATCCCTAACGAGCCCATTTAATATTTTTAATTTATATAAAACGATCCTAATAATCTCTATGGAGAGTTGATTTTTCGAAACTTTGGGGTCTTTATTTGGCATTCACATATAATGCAAATAACTAAAATTTGCAAAATTTCAGGAGACGCATTACTTGGCTATGCTTATTTATCATTTTACGCCTGCGTGCCATATGTAATAATGTTTTTGGTGGGTCATATCAAAATATTGCAGTTAAAATTCGAAAACTTTTCAAAGTACTCTGAGCAATTATCTAAACAACATGGGCAACCCTTGGAACTAGCACAAAACATATATTTGGAAGAATGTATTAAAGACCATCAAGAACTCATCACTTTGTGTGACAATATTAAAAATAGCTTGGCTACATATTGGTTGGTAGATTTTGTGCTGGTGGCAGGACAAATTACCATGGTATGCTTTAAAATTTTGATGGAACTTGGTTTCAACTCCATCACTTTCGCTAATATAATGCATATAGTCACCTTATTTGCGCAATGTTTTGCAATATACCACCCAAGTGAAAAATTGTTCGAAGAAAGTCAAAATATTGGACAATCGGTTTTCAACAGTGAGTGGTATTCATATCCGTTACATGTTCAGAAAGAAATGCTGATAATAATGATGAGATCAGCACGTCCCCTACACATGTCGATCGGACCTTTTTATAATATCAGGATCAGTTTTTTGACAGACATCACAAGGTCGGCATATAGTTTAATTTGTTTCTTGCAAAAAAACTAAATAAAAATACCAATCGCATCATAGTTTTCTACAAAAAAAATAATGTATACATTAGGTATAGTACAATATTGCATGCACACTTGTAGTCTTAAATAAATGAATACAATAAATTGAATCGTTTTTTTAACCCTGCTAAGATGAAACAGGGGGTCGCACCCCCCAGTTATCTTGGAGAAAATTTATTTTTTTAATTTATGCAGAATTATTTTAAAAACTATAGAATACATTTACATATATGTACCGTTACAAAAGTATACCCACTAAGGTAAATGCCAAAATATACGTAGGAAGTTCATAAAAGGGGCCGTTCATTAATTACGTGAGACAATTTTGACGATTTTTCGACCCCCCCCACCCCTTGGTGAGATATCGTGAGATTTTGCTCGACCCCCTCTCCCCCCCCTTAATCTCACGTGAGATTTTTTAAAATGCATGGTTTTAATGTAAATAAGTTAATCTGTGCTTGATTCCATTAGATTTATTAAAAAAAACAATTTGCTTATAATTGTTTACTTAATTTAACCCAGTTTTCTCGCAATTTTACTCTTTCTTTCGGAAAAAAAAAATTACGTGATATTTGCCGAGACCCCCCTCCCCCCCACGTGAGATTTGGTGAGGTTTGGCTCGACCCCCTCCCCCCCCCTAAACACCTCACGTAATTAATGAACGGTCCCAAAGTAAACAAGTGTTCTTTGATCAGAACTTATTTAACAATTGTCTAGATTTTTTTGAAAATTGTACTTATTTCTGATAAAACTATCATTAGATAAAAAGTAACGTGAAAAAAACCGTTTGTTTGTTTTTGTATAGAAGAAGAATGCAAAATTGTATTAGTCTAATGAAGAAGTTTTTAAAGGGTCTATCTCCCAGAGTTTTACTTTGATCAAATGAAGACTGGGAAAAGTGCTAAAAGTAATTTTATTTTGTTTGAAGGATAAATTATAAAACCCAAGTTATCCTTTAAATAAAATAAATTAAATTATTTAAAATAAATCAATATATATTTTTTTTCGTGACCAAACTGTTTCAAATATTTCAGATTTTTTTTTTCAATATTTAAATATTTTACATCATTAATTTTTAAATTTTTAAATATAACTTTGTTACTCTATTTAAATTATAAATGTACATTGGGACACGTAATGTTAAGTGGGGTATAAAAATCAGATTTATACTTTTGTAGATTAGTTTGCTTGCACTTTAGCAAGTAATAACTTTATTAAGGTGCATTTAAATCATAGCTAAAATAAAAACAATCCGACGAACGAATTCATTGGTATACTGAAGCATTCTCGAATACAAATGAAAATTTTCTAAAAATATTAAACAAAAACTTTATCATAATATTATTATCTATGGATCTTATGGAGCATATGTCGTTACCGAGACGGTTTCTGACCTTAATTGCTTTTTGGCCTTTAAAACTGAAAGGAATCAAACAAAAAATATACATAACATATCGTATTTTTATATTTTGTTACTGTTGTGTTACCGCTGCCACTGAAGTAATTGGTTATATACTATTGTTCAGGTTAGGAGAAGTGGGGAATTTCAGTGCAAATATACATTATGTTTTAAACGTATGCAAACTGTATTATGTAACAAGAATATGGACTTACATAGATGTCATGTATGAGATTGAAAAAAAAATCGCAAACAAAAATGATAAAGATTTTAACGAGATAATGATAAAACATAAGAAACAAAGTAAAATGATTTCTTTGCTTGTATTGAGCGGTGGTGTCTCTGTTTTATCATACATTGTGCAACCTGCAATAAATAAAATAAAGGGTGCTTGTTTTCACAATAAACTGACGGACCGCTGCGAGTATGGCTTTGGTTTCACCCAATGGTTTCCTTTTTTCGATTATGAGAACCATTGGGGTTTGGCTTACGTTTTATTGTTATACGGTGAGAAAATACAAAAGTGACACTACGAAGAAAGACCCCTAACGAGCCCATTTAATATTTTTAATTTATATAAAACGATCCTAATAATCTCTATGGAGAGTTGATTTTTTGACGCTTTGGGGTCTTTATTTGACATTCACATATAATGCAAATAACTAAAATTTGCAAAATTTCAGGAGACGCATTACTTGGCTATGCTTATTTATCATTTTACGCCTGCGTGCCATATGTAATAATGTTTTTGGTGGGTCATATCAAAATATTGCAGTTAAAATTCGAAAACTTTTCAAAGCACTCTGAGCAATTATCTAAACAACATGGGCAACCCTTGGAACTAGCACAAAACATATATTTGGAAGAATGTATTAAAGACCATCAAGAACTCATCACTTTGTGTGACAATATTAAAAATAGCTTGGCTACATATTGGTTGGTAGATTTTGTGCTGGTAGCAGGACAAATTACCATGGTATGCATTAAAATTTTGATGGAACTTGGTCTTAACTCCATCACTTTCGCTAATCTGATGCACATAGTCACATTATTTGCGCAATGTTTTGCAATATATCACCCAAGTGAAAAATTGTTCGAAGAAAGTCAAAATATTGGACAATCGGTTTTCAACAGTGAGTGGTATTCATATCCGTTACATGTTCAGAAAAAAATGCTGATAATAATGATGAGATCAGGACGTCCCCTACACATGTCGATCGGACCTTTTTATAATATCAGGATCAGTTTTTTGACAGACATCACAAGGTCGGCATATAGTTTAATTTGTTTCTTGCAAAAAAAATAAATAAAAATACCAATTGCATCATGCTATTTTACTAGATATAGGTATAGTACTTTTTATTATGATTCATCGATGAATTTTAACTGTTCGAAGTTACCTACAATACTGCACACTTGTAGCCTTAAATAAATAAATACTAATGTAAAAAACATTTTTTCGGCAAATAAACGTTTTATTTCTTCATTCGACCCAAATCTCTTACCACCAAACCATTTCTTCAGGTTTGGAAACAGAAAATAGTCACATGGGGTTAAATATGGACAATAAGCTGGATGGAGTAGCAGTTCGTACAAACCACCCTCGTATTATATTGTATTTTAAAAAAAAATTGTATTATAAAACGATACATTATATTTATTATTATTATTATATTTACTGTAATATTTACCAAAATAAAACTTAATAAAATAATTAATAAAATATAAATAAATAAATAAATAAATAATTCAGTCCATTTTAAGGTCTAATTTTAAGGACATTTAAAGTTTTTTAATTAAAAAAGCATGCAGGTAAATCTTGTTTTTTTTGCTCGTTAAAGGTTGACTTAAAGGAAAAAGTAAATACATTTTTTGTATGAAATTAATTTCGCACATCTCTAAAAATCTTAATTTTAGAGATTCGACTTATAACGGGTTTTGTGAAAAATTAAATTATCTACAAAAAGTTTTCTTCTGCGAAAAAGAGGACAAAAGTCCAAACTATGCTTGATTAGATTAACCACCATAACAGTACAGAACCTAACCTATGGAGTACCACAGGGATAAGTGCTTGGACCCATAGGTTTTGTCGAAAATTGTACTGATAGAGAAGTTTTAAAGGGTCTATCAGAGTTTTACTTCGATCGAATTAAGACTGGGAAAATAAGGATAAATTATAAAACCCAAGTAATCCCTTGAATTAAAAATAATAAATTATTTAAAATAAATCAATAATATTTTCTTATTTCGTGACAATATTGTTTCAATTATTTAAGAAGTTTCCTTATTTGCAACATTTCAATATTTTGCATTATTAATTTTCAAATTTTTAATTACAACTTACTACTTTATTTAATTATAGTTGTACATGGGGACACGTAATGTTAAGTGTGGTATAAAAGGCAGATTTCCAGTTTTGTAGATTAGTTTGTTTGCATTTGCATTAAGATGTACATATATATACTTAAGCATTCTCAAATAAAAATATTTAATATTTTTAGACAATTATTGTTAACATAATAGTTTTATCTATGGATCTTATGGAGCATATGTCGTTACCGAGACGGTTTCTGACCGTAATTGCTTTTTGGCCTTTAAAACTGAAAGGAGTCAAACAAAAAATATACATAACTTATCGTATTTTTATATTTTGTTACTGTTGTGTTACAGCTGCCACTGATATAATTGGTAATATATTATTATTAAGGTTAGGAGATGTAGGAAATTTTAGTTCAAATATACATTATATCTTAAACCTATTCAAACTGTATTATATAACAAGAATATGGGCGTACATAGATGTCATGTATGAGATTGAAAAAAAAATCGCAAACAAAAATGATAAAGAATTTAACAAGATAATGGAAAAATTTAAGAAAGAAGGTAAAGTTCTCTTTTTGCTTGTATTAACTGGTGGTGTCTCTGTTTTATCATACATTGTGCAACCTGCAATAAATAAAATAAAGGGTGCTTGTTTTCACAATAAATTGACTGACCGCTGCGAGTATGGCTTTGGATTTACCCAATGGTTTCCTTTTTTCGATTATGAGAACCATTGGGGTTTGGCTTACGTTTTATTGTCATTCGGTGAGAAAATACAAAAGTGATAATCCGAAGAAAGATCCCTAACGAGCCCATTTAATATTTTTAATTTATATAAAACGATCCTAATAATCTCTATGGATTGTTGATTTTTCGAAACTTTGGGGTCTTTATTTGGCATTCACATATAATGCAAATAACTAAAATTTGCAATATTTCAGGAGACGCATTACTTGGCTACGCTTATGTATCATTTTACGCCTGCATGCCATTTGTAATAATGTTTTTGGTGGGTCAAGTCAAAATATTGCAGTTAAAATTCGAAAACTTTTCAAAGTACTCTGAGCAATTATCTAAACATCATGGGCAACCCTTGGAACTAGCACAAAACATATATTTGGAAGAATGTATTAAAGACCATCAAGAACTTATCACTTTGTGTGACAATATTAAAAATAGCTTGGCTACATATTGGTTGGTAGATTTTGTGCTGGTAGCAGGACAAATTACCATGGTATGCTTTAAAATTTTAATGGAACTTGGTCTCAACTCCATCACTTTCGCTAATCTGATGCACATAGTCACATTATTTGCGCAATGTTTTGCTATATACCATCCAAGTGAAATATTGTTCAAAGAAAGTCAAAATATTGGACAATCGGTTTTTAACAGTGAATGGTATACATATCCATTACATGTTCAGAAAGAAATGCTGATAATAATGATGAGATCAGCAGGTCCTCTACACATGTCGATCGGACCCTTTTATAATATCAGGATCAGTTTTTTAACAGACATCACAAGGTCGGCATACAGTTAAATTTGTTTTTTGCAAAAAATTTAATAAAAATACCAATTGCATAATGCTTTTTTACTAGATATAGGTATAGTACTTCTACAATATTGCACACTTGTATAGGATATACCCTTAAATAAATGAATACTAGTGTAAAAAACTTTTTTTCTGTAAATAAACGTTTTACTTCTTTATTCGACCCAAATCTCTTACCACCAAACCATTTCTTCATGTTTGGAAACAGAAAATACTCACAGGGAGTTAAATCTGGAGAATATGCTGGATGGGGTAGCAGTTCGTAGAAACCCCCTTGTATTATATTGTATTATAAAACGATACATTATATTTACTGTAATATTTACCTAAACGAAACTATTAGGGTGGCCCAAAAAAAAGTATTTTTTTCCTCGTCTGCTGTGAAAATATGTTGGTTTGTCATGTTTTAAGAGCCCTGTAAAAAGATCAGCTCCATTAAAAACTTTTTAGGGGTCGCTCAAGATTTTTAAAAATTTCCAAAATCGTCAAAAATTAGATTTTTTTTTAATTTAAAAATAATGATTCTAAAAATTTCGAATCGATATTTTGATTTCTAAAGGTCGCTCAAGATTTTTTAACTTTCAAAGTAGAGAATTTTGAATGTTTTCAAACGACCTCTGAATATAAATATCAACGAACTTTTAGCGACCTTTGAAAATCGAAATATTGATTTGAAATTTACAGAATTTTTATTATTTTCAACCAAAAAAATAATATCGAGACAAAAAAAAATTAAAATAAAACAAAAATTCAATTTTTGACGATTTCGAAAATTTTTAAAAATCTTGAGCGACCCCTGAAATTTTTTGAATCGAGCTGATATTTTGACAGGGCTCTTACAGCATGATAAACTAACAAATTTTTACAGGAGACGAGAAAAAAATATTCTTTTTTTTGGGCAACCCTAATATATACATGTATATAGGTGTCTTAAAGGAATAATTTAGTAAATGCCAAATTATAGGTAGTTTATTAACGTAAACAAGTTTATTTACTGCATACAATATAATTATATTTGTCCTCTATGATTGCAATTTTTAAGCACATGAGGTAATATACAGGGTTGCGCAAAATAATCGTTATAATTTAAGTGAATCCTAATGGAAACCATTATAGGTTGATCTCATCAGAATTTTATCAGCCAATAGTCTATCAAAAAATAAATGTAGTTTGTAAAGGTGTCCAGGGTTTAATATCTTCTGAAATTTAATATTAATTAAGTACCTATTCAAACTTGATAAAAGAAAAATCAGATTTTATGCAAGAGTTATCTTATAACTAATTTTACCTACAATTGGAAATAATTTATTAATATAAACAGAAATATTTCGTTGTAAAAATAACAAAATTAAATAGTAATGGATAAGGAACTTGTAATTTTTAAATTGATATCCTAAAACATGCTCATTTATATTCGCTATTTACTTCCGTCGATTGCTTATGATTGTTCGATCAACATGATCCTTACATTTGTGATTTGTGCTTTTATTTTTGTTAATCGTTTTTGTTGGGCCTTTCAAAAAATTACCGGTAAGTATTGTATTATTGTTGTATTAGATGAATTCCTTTAAATCAATACCTATAGGTATATCAAAAAAGTATACTAAAATTTATATATTTTGATTATTTCCTATTAAATATTACTATTTTTATCGATAATAAAATGTTACATTGCTTTAAAAAATGTATTTATTACTCTTTTTCCTTTATTACAACTAAAGGGTGTTATTTAATAAATTCTTTTAAAATAAAAATATATTTTCAGATAATCAATATGCATTGATGCCAAATCTATTTCATCTTGACGATTATGACAAATGCATGTTATTGCAAAACAGAGCGCTCTATTGCTCGATAACTTTTGAGCTTGAACCTCTGGATGCTGAAAATCCTTCAGAAATATGGAAAATAGTCAAGGTAGTCAACACATAAAAATAAAATAAGTCATATCCTTAACATTTTTAGTCAATTTCTTATGTAAAATTGTTATTGTTATAACAGTTTTTGAGAAATACTATTTTCTAAATTTTTCATAATAATAATATTGGTTTCTATTTTTTCATAGTAGTAATATGGAGCTTTATTAAGTAAAACTGTCATTTTCGGACTAAGCCGACAATTTTACATATGACTTGACTATTAAATGTCCGGGATACAAATTTCTTGGCTAAAAATTGATTAATTAATTTATTCTTTCATGGCTGCAGTCAGTGAGTTCTGTACCATCAAATTACAGACATGACCATTTAAGGCATGGGATTTGTGTGCCAACTACTTGTCCCAATACTTCCGCTCTATCTCTACAGGACCAATCAGAAATTACCAAAGATATAAACGATTGTTACAATAACAAGTATGAAAATATGGGTTTGAAGGGGAATGTTACAAAAATAGATTGTTTAACATACAATTTTTCATATCCAATTGATCAATACGATATTATAGTAGCGTAAGAACAAATTTTTTCATAATAATTAGGTAAAAAATATCATATAAATTTTAGGGTTCTCATTTTATTTTATATAGGTTTTATAATTTTTGCTTCTGTCTACGAAGAAATAGCCAAAAGAAAATCGCGATTACAATACGATGAAATTATATCCAAAACAAGTAAGTAACATTTTTTTTTGTCCCACATCCCCTAAATAATAGTTAATTTTTTAAGTTGGAAAATATTTAGCAGCTTTTTCGATTTCAAAAAATTGGAAGAGATTAACCAAGGTCGATGAGAATCAAGAACTAAGATGTTTAGCTGGAATTAAATTTTTCAACATGATTTTCGTAGTGTTGGCTCACACGATGTTAAGTGTTTTTGCAGGTGGAATTTTTAACACCAAATTTTCCGAAAATGTAAATTAATTTATCCCCAATAAGTATATATAGTGTAAGAGTTATTACAAATAGATGATGATCTTTTAATCCGCGGTTTACTTAAAGTAATACCTGTACTATAATGTGGTCCATTATGATCCTATTTTTATTACAGACTTTTAACCAATAGTAATGCAATACATCGCAATATTCTGTCAACATCAACTCTTATAATATTTATTAATTTTGCACTCATTATGACATAATTCTCATGCTCATGTCCTAATATACTAATGTTATTGGGTTTTAGCTAACAAAAAACACTTTTAATATGATAATTATCAATGGAACATACATAATACAATCATTTTTTTTGATATCCGGTTGGTTATTGTCTTACAATTTTTTTTTGATGTTCGAAAAAAGGAAGTTTCGTTTAATGTATCTTCCCATGGTTTTTGTTAATAGATACATTAGGTAGGTAAACACTGGTTTTTGTGATATAAATAAATAATTATTTGGCCGAATTTATTAATTTGCATTATCTTAGATTGACCCCGGTTTTTGTCGTCGTACTGGCTTTTCATTGCACGTGGTTGGTGCACTTGCCAAGGGGGCCTCAGTGGCACAAAGCTGTCGAATGGGAGCACCATTATTGCAGAAAAAATTGGTGGACCAATATGCTATACGTTAACAATTACGTGGACAAGGAACACATGGTGAAAATTGTAGTTTTTATTACCAATTTTTAATGACTATTTTAGTGCATGGAGCATACGTGGTATTTGGCAGCTGACACGCAATTATTTGCTGTATCACTAATAATTTTGGGAGTCGTATTCAAAATTCCAAAATACACCAAATTAATTCTTGGATTTTTTTTCGCCATGGGAGTTTTTTTGCCTGGACTGGTCAGCTGGGTTACCAACAGTGACATTCTAACCAGACTTTACCCAGAGTAAGTTTTCATTGTTAAAAAAATGTAAAATTATTTTTTTAACTTTCAGAAACTTATACCTATTATTACTGGAAACGGAAAACTTTCACACCCTGTATACTTCCGCGTATTCCAACGTGGGAGGCTATGCACTGGGCCTACTAAGCGGATATGTTTATTATAAAACCAAAGATATAAAAATAAATATAACCACGGTAAATGTGACAAAACAAAATATTTAAAATTTAAAAAAAAAATATTTTAGTTTCATGTTTTATTTTGGTGGTTACTCACTTTTGGCAGCGGGTTGTTCGTTATCCTGATAGCAGGAATAATGTACAATGACGATTTTACTTACACACGATTGGAAGCCGCTCTTTATTGGGCCTTTGGAAAAAACGTTTTTGTATTTGCGGTAGCTCTGGCCATCTTTGGAGCCACCAGAAATTTGGGAGGTGGGTATACTTCATATAAATGTGTGTAATAGGTGTGTTTTTAAATTAAATTAAATTGAAATATTTTTAGGAATTATAAAAAAAATACTGGAACTACGGATGGTCCAAATTCTAAGCAGACTTACTTATAGTGTGTATATTGTCCATGTAACATTATTAAAATACAAAAAGGCTGTCGTGAGAAGCCCATCCTATCTAAGCTATTACACTGTTGTAAGTTGTCTAACCAATTGGGGTTTGCATTTACAAAAAGGCCTTTTTTAATAAAGAATTATTTGAAATTTATTCAAACTTGATAATATCTGCTTTCGCAGTTAATCAGTTATGACATCAAACTTTACTACGTTTTATCACATACTTTTGACAAGATTTTTTTTATTTACAGTAATCTTGCCAAATATAAAATAGTTACACTCTTTGATATGCAACCCTTTCATTAAAATAACTTTGGAATGTTAACAGTTTTAAGCAAATTCGTCAAATATATTTGATTATTATTATTAATTAATTCAATAAAAATATATTTGATTATTTTTTAGGTCTACGACTGTTTCTCCGATTTATGTTTATCATACATTACGGGATTACTGCTGTGTTTACTTTTCGAAATGCCAATTTCGGCGTTACAGAAAATTTTTATCCCCCAACTAAGCTCAAAATCTCAACCAAATGTAAATGACATCCATTCAAAAACGAACGAAGAAGAAGAACTAAAAACTAGTGTTTAATTGTATTACCTATGTATTAACATGGTATAATTTTTTTAAATTAAAATTTATTAAATAAAGCGTTATTAAAAGTTTTATTTTTTCTATATTAAATAAAAATCTTATTTAAGTTAATTTGTATTTGTATTTATAGAGAAATATAGGTAAATAAAAAATCTTCGAAAGATGAATGATCCATTCACAATATTTTAGTCTCTTAACGTTTTTTGATATCTATTAAAAGTTAATAAAAATATTATAAGGTCAAATTAAAAAATTTCGCAGTATAAATACAAACACAAAATTTAAATAGCAATAAATGGAGGTGGAAGGTATTTCTTAAATTAATATTCCCATGCAAATTTTTATATTCGCCGAATGTTGGTATTTCACTTTCGTCGATTGGTTTTGATTGTTAATTGATATGATCTTTAGAATTGTGATTTGTGCTTTTATTTTTGTTAATCGTTTTTGTTGGGCCTTTCAAGAAATTACAGGTAAATATTGTATACTTTTATTAGGCCTTAAATGAATGATTTTTTTAAGTAAATAGTGCTAAAACGAAAACTACACATAATATGTAGATTAATTTGTTTAAAATATTACTATTATTTAAAATAAAATTGAAAATTGCTTAAAATATTAGTAATTATATTTCTACCCATTTTTTATTACTCTTCCCTTCATTACAACTATAAATAGAATTTTTTGTGATGTACTGTTCTGTAAAAGTGAATTTTTTTGAGATAATATCTCGAAATCTAGCCCTTAACCAGAAAACCGCCGTTTTTGGTATTATAATGCTATACACGGAGAGAAAATGCTGGTTACCATAATTATAATATCCTTTACTAAAATTTATATTACTATTTGGGACAACTATCTTGTATATTGCCAGATACTATGCATATTTAGTATTTTTTAAATATCCATGTATGTTAAACCTTAAGGTAAAATATTATTATTCTCAACCAATTTTGTTTTTAATTCTTATTATAATTAGATTTTTTCCATTACTATTAAGTATAGTAAATTTTAAAATATTATGTTGCCATTTTAAATATAAAATATTTTTAATTGTTAAAAATTAAAAATTGTAACATATTTATTGTACTTTTTAACACTTATACAAAAATGTTATGAGAAAGAATTGAACCTACACCTCGCCAAAGTTTTTTGTTTTGAGTGCGTTCCATCAACTTCAAAAGACAGGTGTTTTGTATATTGGGTATCATCGGTATCGACACGACACTGTCGAGCAACTTGTAGTAGTGAAACACACCAAAAACAAAGAAATACCTGAGCTTATATAACATGGTTGGTAAGCCAACAGAGGCGAGATGTAAGAACATCACGTGATCCACACCGTCTAACGACGCGTCGCGACGTGGCCTTTGCCGCAATCGGTACATACTATGCAACCAAGTAGGTTCAATTCTTTCTTATAAGTATTACCAGTAATGGGTCAAGAAAGTTTATTGAAAAAACTAAGAAAATTGAATGTTTAAAATGTCATGAGTTACTATATTGTTTATTATATTTAAATATATTGTTTATTTACCTTAAACATAAAAGTATCTTTATTTTTACTATTAATGTGTAATATATTATATTAGATGTACACTTAGATTTGATTAAATCAAATAGTAAATATTACTATTTGTAGATAGTAAAATCAATTTACTATACGAACATATTAAAAATTAAAATATATATTATACATTTATGATTTAGTAATATTGGTAATAATAAAAAATAGTATTTTGTATTACAATCTTAATATTGTATCAACGAGTATATAATATTGTTACCCTAAAAATTTGTTAAAGTAAATTTAACTATATTTTTTTACTATCTAAAATTTACTATACATTTCTCTCCGTGTAGCACGACACATAAAAAGTGGTTCTAGTTAAACGAGGAACAACTTTGTCGAATTATTTTTGATTTAAATATGGTCAACAACTTTACCACTGGTAAATATATTTTTTAAAGTAAATGTCATGAATAGCCAGTCTACACTAGGAATACAAGGTCGATGTTCTCAGTTTATACTTAAAATATTGTTTAATGTTTGTAAAAATATATGACTTTAAAAATACACTCTTTTAATGTTTTATATGTATTTAAATTTATAATTAAAATTGTTTTTTAAAATAAATATATGATTATTTTCAGATAATCAATATGCATTGATGCCAAATCTATTTCATCTTGACGATTATGACAAATGCATGTTATTGCAAAACAGAGCGCTCTATTGCTCGATAACTTTTGAGCTTGAACCTTTGGATGCTGAAAATCCTTCAGAAATATGGAAAATAGTCAAGGTAGTCAACACATAAAAATAAAATACATTTTTAGTCAATTTCTTAGGTAAAATTGTTAAAAGTATAACAGTTTTTGAGAAATACTATTTTCTAAATTTTTCATAATAATAATATTGGTTTCTATTTTTTCATAGTAGTAATATGGAGCTTTATTAAGTAAACCTGTCATTTTCGGACTAAGCCGACAAGTTTACATATGACTTGACTATTAAATGTTCGGGATACAAATTTCTTGGCTAAAAATTAATTAATTAATTTATTCTTTCATGGCTGCAGTCAGTGAGTTCTGTACCATCAAATTACAGACATGACCATTTAAGGCATGGGATTTGTGTGCCAACTACTTGTCCCAATGTTTCCTCTCTATCTCTACAGGACCAATCAGAAATTACCAAAGATATAAACGATTGTTACAATAACAAGTATGAAAATATGGGTTTGAAGGGAAATGTTACAAAAATTGATTGTTTAACATACAATTTTTCATATCCAATTGATCAATACGATATTATAGTAGCGTAAGAACAAATTTCTTCATGATAATTAGGTAAAAATGTCATATAAATTTTAGGGTTCTCATGTTATTTTATATAGGTTTTATAATTTTCGCTTCCGTCTACGGAGAAATGACCAAAGAAAAATCGCGATTACAATACGATGAAATTATATCCAAACCAAGTAAGTAACTTTTTTTTTTTGTCCCACATCCCCTAATAGTTAATTTTTTAAGTTGGAAAATATTTAGCAGCTTTTTCGATTTCAAAAAATTGGAAGAGATTAACCAAGGTCGATGAGAATCAAGAACTAAGATGTTTGGCTGGAATTAAGTTTTTCAACATGATTTTCGTGGTGTTGGCTCACACGATATTATTGGTTTTTACTGGTGGAATATTCAACACCAAATTTACCGAAAATGTAAATTAATTTATCCACAATAAGTATATACATAAGTGTAAGATTAATTCCAAATAAAGATTTTGCTTAAACTTTTTAAAGATGATCTTTTAAGCCGCGTAACTATAGTAATACCTGTACTATAATGAGGTCCATTATGATCATATTTTTTATTACAGATTTTTAACCAATAGAAATGCAATACATCGCAAAAGTCGGTCAATATCAACTCTTTCCTTGGACATCTGACAGATATAATATTTAATAATTTTGACAAGTTACTTACTGTTTACATAAAAAAATAAACTTGTGCGATAGTGAATGTAAAATTGAAAATTTAACCCCGCCAGAAATTGCAACATTATAACATAATTCTCATGCTCATGTCTAAATGGCCATTAATATACTAATGTTATTGAGTTTTAGCTGACAAAAAACACTCTTCATATGATAATTATCAATGGAACATACATAATACAATCATTTTTTCTGATATCCGGTTGGTTATTGTCTTACAATTTTTTTTTGATGTTCGAAAAAAGGAAGTTTCGTTTAATGTATCTTCCCATGGTTTTTGTTAATAGATACATTAGGTAGGTAAACACTGGTTTTTGTGATATTAATAAATAATTATTTGGCCGAATTTATTAATTTGCATTATTTTAGATTGACCCCGGTTTTTGTCGTCGTACTGGCTTTTCATTGCACGTGGTTGGTGCACTTGCCAAGGGGGCCTCAGTGGCACAAAGCTGTCGAATGGGAGCACTATTATTGCAGAAAAAATTGGTGGACCAATATGCTATATGTTAACAATTACGTGGACAAGGAACACATGGTAAAAATTGTAGTTTTTATTACCAATTTTTAATGACTATTTTAGTGCATGGAGCATACGTGGTATTTGGCAGCTGACACGCAATTATTTGCTGTATCACTGATAATTATGGGAGTCGTATTCAAAATTAAAAAATACACCAAATTAATTCTTGGATTTTTTTTCGCCATGGGAGTTTTTTTGCCTGGACTGGTCAGCTGGGTTACCAACAGTGACATTGTAACCAGACTTTACCCAGAGTAAGTTTTCATTGTTAAAAAAATGTAAAATTATTTTTTTAACTTTCAGAAATTTATACCTAATTTTACTGGAAACGGAGAACTTTCACACCCTGTATACTTCCGCGTATTCCAACGTGGGAGGCTATGCACTGGGCCTACTAAGCGGATATGTTTATTATAAAACCAAAGATATTAAAATAAATATAACCACGGTAAATTTGACAAACCAAAATATTTAAAAATTTAAAAAAATGTATTTTAGTTGCATGTTTTGTTTTGGTGGTTACTCACTTTTGGCAGCGGGTTGTTCGTTATCCTGATAGCAGGAATAATGTACAAGGACGATTTTACTTACACACGATTGGAAGCTGCTCTTTATTGGGCCTTTGGAAAAAACGTTTTTGTATTTGCCGTAGCTCTAAGTATCTTTGGAGTCACCAGAAATTTGGGAGGTGTGTACTATGTTTGAATGTGTGGAGTAGGTGTGTTTTAAATTGAATTAATTCTGAAATCTTTTCAGGAATTGTAAAAAAGATAGTGGAACTACGGATGGTCCAAATTCTAAGCAGACTTACATATAGTGTTTTTATTGTCCATGTAACATTATTAAAATACAAAAAGGCTGTCGTGAGAAGCCCATCCTATCTAAGCTATTACACTGTTGTAAGTTATCTAACCAATTGGGGTTTGCATTTACAAAAAGTCCTTTTTTAATAAAGAATTATTTGAAATTTATTCAAACTTGATAATATCTGCTTTCGCAGTTAATCAGTTATGACATCAAACTTTACTACGTTTTATCACTTGTGACAAGAATTTTTATATTTAGAGCAATTTTGCCAAATATAAAATAGCAAAACCCTTTCATTATATATTAAAATAACTTTGGAATGTTAACAGTTTCAAGCAAAGTTCGTCAAATATACTTAATTATTATTATTAATTAATTCAATAAAAATATATTTGATTATTTTTAGGTTTACGACTGTTTCTCCGATTTATGTTTATCATACATTACGGGATTACTGTTGTGTTTACTCTTCGAAATGCCAATTTCGGCGTTACAGAAAATTTTTATTCCTCAACTAAGCTCAAAATCTCAACCAAATTTAAATGACATCCATTCAAAAACGAACGAAGAAGAAGAACTAAAAACTAGTGTTTAATTGTATTACTGAAGTACCTACATAGTATAAATTTATTGAAATTAAAATTTATTAAATTTAATTTTTTTTATTTTATTTGATTAAACAAAATTTAAAAAGTAAATTTGTTTTGGAATTAACGTCTTATTAACATATTAATATATTATATCCAAAATAATTATTTACATTTTTATCCAGTATTTTTAGTATAACGTGAACATAGAAATCCCTAATAAAGCCCAAAGGTTTGTCTAAGATTATTAAAAAAAGTCCCTGAAAAAAATAAATGGTAGAATAGCAGTTAAATCTTTTACAGCGTATGTCTTACGTCAACCAATCACAGTGCTTGATATCCCCATGTGATTGGTTGACGTAAGACGTAAGCTGTAAAAGATACCCCCATTTATATATTTTAAATCAACATAATTTTATATTTGTTTTTAATGTTTCATACTCTTGCTAAGATAGAAGTGCTAATTGAAAAATAAACAGTGGTATATTTTGTAAATAAAACGTCGGATTTTTTTATTTTTTATTTTAAGACTTCTAAATTAAATACGAAAGGCTCTTTAGGACTCAATGTGGTTTTTCTACAGTCAAATTCGAGTTTACATGAATTCTTTAAATACACTTTATACCTTGATAAAATTGTCAATAAGCATAACTTCACTTGCAGAACGATGTATTTGGTATCTGAAAACAAAAATTGTTCAAAATATACATACACGATGTGAAATAAAAAACTCGCCATAACCACCGAAAAAATGTGTATATATACAGGGTGCCCCAAATTTCTTGCCAAAATTTAAGACAAAATTTCCTTTACCATTTATTCAAATTCGCAAAATTCCAGGGGCCGACCCTTCGTATATACAGGGTGTTTATTAATTAACTGAATGGGTTCAATCCCTGGATGATTTTAACCCCACACTGTTTAAAATATCTGTGGTGTGAAGAGTAATCTTAAAATGGTGTCAAAATCCAACACCAAGTGGTGTTAATATAAACACCATGAATTATGGTTGAAAATGTTATATACAGCAAACACCAAAACGGTGTTAATCTAAAAATATTTGAGAAGTGCACCTACACAGAAAAAAAGGAATAGTTCATTTAACTATATTAATTTAGTTGTATCTGCACAAAGTTATTTACTTTTTTTTTAAATTGGTTAAATTAACCCAGAAAACTTTAGTGAAACCAACCCGCTGTATGGTTCAGTTTACTAACTATGTTGTTTGTAAAATAAGAGTTACTTCAACCTAATGCACTATGTTAAAACGATTAAAACAATTTGCCGTGCATTCCTGGTTGCATAGTGTGTACCGATCGCGGCAAAGGCGGTGTGGATCACGTGATGTTCTTAAATCTCGCCTCTGTTGACTTACATGAAGAGTATATAAGCTCAGGTAGTCCTTTGCTTTGGTGTGACACTACAAGTTGTTCAATACTAAAAAGACCTTAAATAGGTTGAAGGTTCAATTTTCTGGAATAATACCACTGGTAATATACTTGTAATGCGTCAAGGAACTTCCTGTTTCCTTTTTTTCCTTTTTTTCTGTATGGTATGATTTAATTTGACCAAAAACACTGAAAAAGGGTTAAATTTACACCAGGTAAAATTTATTTTAATACTGTGTGAAAGTTAAATTTACACTATTTTAGTATTTGAATTTACACCGGACCAACGAACCATATTTAACACAATTTTGGTTTGTATCGATATAGACCATGTGTGGTGTTAATTTGGTGTTAAAATGGTCATGAAATTTTGAACAGTGCATTCAGTAGCTTTTTACCTTTTTTCGGCCATTAGGACTATTTTCTCATTCCACATCATTTTGACTATAATGTAGCTTACAAATTTCTGTATTTTCGTCATCACCAAATGGAACAAACGAATATGACTTTAAATACTTATCGTTTTCCTCGTAAAATCTATCAGGGTCGAATTCTTCGGGATTTGGAAAATTCATGGGGTCGTGATGAACCCCGTATACGGATATCACAGTCATGCAATGTCGCGGGATGTTTAATTTGTATTTTTCGTTTTTAAAATCTTCGCAGCATTTTTTCATTATCGTTGCTCTGGGTGGATATTTCCTCAAGCATTCTAAAAGTTTATAAAATCGGTTTTATATCATAAATAATAAATCATTTTTACAAAATGTTTTTTTATAATTACAAATTTTAACATTTATTAAATAATTTTTTAATTTAAAATTTTATTGGTTTAAAATTTTCCTAACTAAAAATTTTAGGTTTATCATGTATTGAAAGACAAAATTTACTAACCAACAGTCCACTTCTGTATTAAACAATAGTATTTTATGAGATTAATTTGTTAAATTTTTTATTATTTAAAAATAGTATCAAGCCATTTAAAATAAAAACAAAATATAAAGCATTTTCTACCAAAATAGTTTAAAAAGTTAAATTTTTGTAAAATCAAAACTATTGATAATCAAAAAATATTTTAAATATAAAATGCAACTGTAAAAGTTTAAGTTTAAAAATATTAATTTTAAAAAAATGGAATTTTAATATTTTATTCTTCAAAATTATTGGTTTGAATTTGTAAAGAGTCATTTAAATGATGGTCGATAAATTTTCAATACAAAAATTTTAACATTACATTTAAATGTTAGTTTTAAATTATAAAGTGGTAATTTTTGCATTTAAATGACTCTTTACAAATTTAAACCAATAACTTTTATTATTAACAATTTTAAATTGATACATTTTTAAGACAAAATTTATAACTTTACATTTAAATGTAAGTCGATAACTTTTAAATAACAAAGTGTAAACGTAGCTTTAGTAGAAGGCACAAGAGTCTGGGATCGGAGCCACGATGCAGCCAGTTTGATCCGCAGCGTTGCCAAATCGTGCTTGCTCCATAAATATTTGACGCGTTTTACAAATTATCGTAATGAAATGTTTCTTTATTAAATCAATTTAATAATAGAACAGCAACATTTTTAGTGCCTGTTGCAATAAGTTAATTCGACAATTAAAAAACATCAACGGATCAAACTGGCTGCATCGTGGCTCCGATCCCAGACTCTTGTGCCTTCTACTAAATTTACGTTTACACTTTGTAATTTAAAAATTATCGACTTACATTTAAATGTAAAGTTATACATTTACAAATATATCACTTTAAAATTGTTAAAAAATAAAAAAATTTGGTTTAAATTTGTAAAGAGTCATTACTACTTTAAAATTTAAAATCTACATTTAATGTAATGTGAGGATTTTTGTATTAAAAATTTATCAACTATCATTTAAATTTAAAGCAATAATTTTGTAGAATAAAATATTATAACCAAAACTTTTAAAAATAAATATTTTTAAACATAAATTGTTACTGTACTATTTAAAATATTTTGTTGACTATTAATTGTTTTGAGTTTAAAAAAATGTAACTTTATAAATTTCTGTTAAAACATAATTTAAGTGCTAGTTACAGTGGGTTTTACTGCACTGAAAGAAATTTGTTGCTAAAAGTAAATACAAATTTATACTAAAAATTTTATACTAGTGCTTTACACATTTATACTACTGTTTATTATGAATGTATGGTAAATTTTGTAATACATTTATTGTAAAGAAGATATGTTAGATCTAAATAAAAATAAACTTACCCTTACTATAAAATGTAAACTATAAGTGAATTACAGCAAAAAAATATTGCTAGAAACACCATTTATATTGCTAGGGCAGCAATAGGCTGCTAACCAAACGAATATATTTGTTTTAGCAATGTATGTGGTAGTCTATATATGAAACATAAAATATATTTGCCCTAATTATTTTTTTATTTAACTTTAGTATATATTTCTTTCAGTGTGTGTATAATGAAAAGTATATCTAATTAACTGCATTCTAATCAGTATAAACTGAAAAAAACTGGTTTGTAGAAAGGACCTTGAACTAAATTAATTAAAATCATTCTTGCATTTCTGTGTGTCTTGGTAATATAATATTATTAATGCGATATACATATTAAATGATAATAATTAAGTTAAATACCTTTGATTGTGGCATCTAAAATCGCCAACTGATTAAGGTTTTTCCTGGTAATTTTCCTCTCATCTTTCCTAAATCTTCGCACTTCCCCAATAATTTCCTGCTGGATATCGGAGTTTTGACACAATTCGTACAAACAAAATTGGGTGATCGATTTTGAGTACTCCATGCTGTCAAAACAAAAATCCAAAATTTCCTCAAAGTCTGAGGTGTTGTTTTCGGATAATGAGTTTATTAGATCAAATTTGCGCAGGTCGTTCTTTTTTCTCCGTAGAATTTCGTTCGCGATCTGAGATTTAAGATTTTTATTGTAACTTGAATTTGGGGTGAATATTTTCCATACGCTTTCATGGCACAACGAAAAATAATGGAGGAGATTGCTGGAATATTTTTTGTTTTGCGTTATCGGTAGACCTAGTATTGCTGAAGAAGTTTCCACGAAAAAAGCATCGAGACTTTCATAGTCCAGGTTGTAACTTTTTTCTACCAAAGATTTGTAGATGATTTCCTCTAGAGTATCGTATTTCTCTAAAAGTTGATCTTGTATTTCGTCCTTGAATAGTTTCGAGATGTCTTTTTGACTCTGAAAGTGTTTTTTATCGGTTAAAACAGTGTAAATCAGAAAAGGGTCCATCATCATGACAAAAGGCTTAAATAATATGTACAGCCCAGCAAAATGGAACTTCTTTCTCTTGAACCTGTTGTAGTACTTCCACAGGTGTATGTTGAAGTTGCATTCTTGATAGATGACATCCTTCACGTTCCCGAAAGGGACCCTTGGGACACCCCCTCTCGGTATACCCTTTTTCTCGAAGAAGGAAAAGGCGCGCTGCACGAGAATAAAAAATCCCACCACCAGGAACGTAAACGAGGTTATACAGTAAATAAACGTGGATTCCTTCATGAAAAACTTAATTTCTTCGTCGCAGAACGTCATTTTTCACACAACACAACACACCTTCTCTCGAACAACAAACAATCATATGGTTTTCGTTTCGCGACCGATTAAAATGCGTTGGAAAGAGAGAGTCGAATGACGTCACGTGTTTGCGCTCACGTGGTTGTAAACAAATGCCGAGCGCGCGGCCTACCTTAAACAATTTTTCAACAGATTGCAGCGATGACGAAACGCAATTAAAAATATTGGCTAATATCATATATGTTATTTTAGTTTTTTTTTGTTTTCACTAAAATTAATTAATCATATAAATATACAGGGTGAGTTTTCAGTTGACGCGTTCCTTTTAACAGCGTGTAGAAATCAGATAAACAAATAAATATTTTAAGTAACTTTTTTATCAAAACTCAAAAATAAGAGAGTTTTAGGCCTTCCAAGTTTAATTAAATTTTGAGCCGGTCATGGCTATTGTTAACAAAAAACCTTAAATAATGTATTTTTCATATTTTATCATAGATTCGAATAATAGCAATTTTTTAAAAAATGATAATCTTTGTACTCACTTTTACCCGTCAGTTCTGTGTCCAATGTTAAAATTCAAAATTCCTGCGAAATATTGAAGTTTAAACGTCAAGTCCTCGTTTTAACTCAAGTGTTGGTAAAAAATTACCTACAAAGCCCGCCCTTTGCACGACAGTCATCTTGAAAACAATGCAAGCGGCGAAGTTGTGGTGAATGCACGTATAGTTCCAGTCAAAATTTCAGTACTGTGGGGAGTAGTTATTTTCTTACGTATTTTTATTTCGTTGTAATTTATATAATGCTATACCTATGTGATTTGTTGATAAGTAGTATCCCCTAATAAAAAATATCAGTAAAATACTTAATTCCGATATATAATCTCAAATTTGTATCCAATTCATCAGTACCGTGTCGTCAGTTCTATGTTCGATGTTTCGGTTATCTTTTTTTCGCAAACTTCAATTTAAGTTCTGCTTGCGCAGAACTTGTTTATTTAATGTCATTATAAACTCATATAAATTTGGTGTGGGTCCCATATCTAATAATTGAGATATCGGTATACCCAAAATGTGGTATTATTTGATTTTAAAATATTTAATGTATAATAGGCTCAAAGTTGCAATAAATCTTATATTTTCTATTAAATTATGTATTTAATTAGTACCCTGGTATACTCGTCACATCCCTTGCATTCAAATTTAGTAAACAAAGATATTTCAGAAACTGTTTGAAAAAGTGACTGGCCCGGTCTGGAACAGTATATTTATTATATTATCTATGTTCTCATAACAAAATACTGTTTAATTTTCTCCGAAAACTATGTAAACAAAATGAGGTCAAAAGTTGCTCAACTTTTGTAGAATAACCCATATTTTTTTGCTAAACACATATTTTTATTCACTAAATTAAAAATATTATAGGATAAATTTTAAATTAGATTTATTTTTTATTATAGAAAATATTTTTAATTGAATGTGAACTTTTAATCTGAATTAAAAATATTACATTTAATTAAAAATATCTGCTTATTTAATAAAATAAAAACTAAATTGAATTAAAAATTTATCCCATGATATTTTTAATTAAGCGACTTAAAAATATGTGTTTAGCAAAAAAATATATAAAAATTATTATGTAATATTTTTATCTATTTTGCGTTCATAATGACTTCATTGTAACACCGCTTTCGGTGGTGTAATGAGGTACTTTACCCCACCCAAATTTTTGATTTTATAGGTTGGCTATACTTTAACCAGCATAATATTTTGCATATTGGTTATAATAGTTTTATGATTTTTCTAGTACTTACGAGACTTTTCTGTCTATAAATTTTGTTTAACACCAAAGAAACTTTTTTTTTCTTCTTTAACATTAACAGCCGCTTATTGTAAATAAGTAAATTAAGGACGGCATGGCGAATCGATTTTGACATTAACTGTCAAACCAATGACTGTGATACCAACTATCTAAATTAAAATTCGACCAAATTAAATATAAGGTATAAAATTAATTTTTTTATAGATTTTTATAAATTGTCCGCGTGCGACAAAATGACGTCTTATGACATTAGTTCTTTAATATACCTTTATCTAATTTATAAAATTAATTTCTGAATAAAAAATAAGAAGGCGGCGAGATAATTTGAGCTTGGGCTTGCTCTAATTGGTGGTTTTATATCACATGACCGAAGATTTGGTGGGTGGCAGTTGGTGTTTCAGTGTGTGTAGAACGGTTGTTTTGGTTTTGATTTAGAATAAATTATTTAAAACTGTTGTCTGATCTTTTAAAGACCTGTATATTTACTGAATTTATTATTGTTATTTATTTGCAATGATATCTTACCAAAAAGGCCAACGAGGTTAAGGCGTTCTTTATTTTTTTTTCAAAAAAAAACACATGACCCAAATAATATGATTATTGTTTTAACAAACATATAATGTTTATGCCATTTCAATTGTAACTAACTAAATCATGAGCAAGAATTTTGGGAAGCAGAAATTACAATTTCACCTGGGAGATAAACTTCATACAGGTAATATACACAGCGATAACAATTTTAAAGTAATCAGTAAAACCTTATTTTTTTAAATTTAAGTATCTCCCAGAGATATATCTCCCGAAACAACACTTAACCAATATTTAAGAGAGCATGCTTTTCTCACTGGAACTAAACGAATGTGTCTTGAAGGAGGATGTGGTGCATGCATTGTAACTGCTGAATTTACTGATCAGATAACCAATCAGCTTAAAGTTATAGCTGTTAATTCGGTAAGATTTTTTTTATCACCTAATAAATTGTCATCCTTTTGGGTGATACACGCAACAATAAGTAAAAAATTTTGCCCGTGTAAATTTTTTAGTGTGGGGGCAAAAATATTAGAGTTGATTTGTAAGTGTAAAAGTTACACTACAAAATACACTAGGTAGCATTTAGTACTTATTAACTTTGTTCACATTACATTTAAAGAATATGAACATTATTCATTGGTACATTCACACTATTTATTATTAAAATAAATCAAAAGGGTAGAAAAACTTAATGCGAGTTTATTACCCCTTAATGTGTTAAATAGTGACACAATCTACACTACAGTGCATGCCAATTTCTTTGTCTGTTTTGATGTTATTAAGAGATCTTTTACTTTATACTACTAGTGCACATTGTATCACAATTAAAGTTAAATTACACCAAAAGTGGCAAAATACACTGAAAAAACTGGTAATAACCGAAATGCGTTTTAAAATGTTTGGTTGGTACCTATCTACCTACGCAGTGCATATCCGGAGATACCGCGTTGTGGAAGTGTGGCATTTTTGTTCAGTTAGATTTTAATTACGGTAAATCCATAAGGGGACATTCTTATTTTTTGGTAAGTATTATACTTCCTTTTTCTTTAAGCCTTAATACTCAATAAATACCAACATGTTAAAAGGATGTCCATACCCGACCTATATTATATATCAATAATTTACGGCAGTAGGTCGGGTACTTGTAACATTAATAATATAAATACATACACACTTGATTTACTTTTTATTTTCAAGCGTAATGGTTGTTATATAAGCCTATACCTACATTTTTATTAATATTATGGAAAATTTGTACACGTGTGGTAAATCCCCGACATACAGCCGCCTGACGCCTCTCTACCAATGGGATCACCCATTTTTTATATCAGAAAAATGGATTACTGATGAATTCTCAAGATAATTCATTGCTTACAAGTTGACAGCCAGTAAAACATTGCATTGATCTAAAACTTTTACGTTTTAAGGAACCATTTTGCTTAAGCCAGCCATACGATCAAATATAAAATTATATTTTAAAAGGCACCGATTTTGATAATTGTCATAGATTTTTGTTTCAAATAAATGTTTCTCTTTATTTACCTTTTCGTTTTATTCACTACCAACAATAGGTTTTACTGAAATAATAGTGTTAATTTACACAGTGCTTTAGTGTTAAATCATACTTGCTTACTTGGGGAAAATTACACTACAAATTAACTCTAATTGTAGTGTTATAAAACAACACTATTTAGTGTGGACCTGTGTGAACTCTAATTAGTGTTGCTTAGAGTTGATTTTTTTACTGTGTATCATTTTTGGATTACAGTACTGTTTCTTAATAAAAAAGCAGTGGCGGCCCAAAATTAATACTGTATTTTAATGATTTTTTTATTAAATAAAATGACAGTGCCTGGTCTCATTGTATTCACTCCACGACTGGAAAATTTATACCATAGAAGGTATCGGTAACAAAAAAGTGGGTTTTCATGCAATACAGAAAGCGCTAGCCGAGGGAAATGGTACGCAATGCGGCTATTGCTCGCCAGGTATGGTGATGAACATGTATTCCTTGGTACAAGCTGGAGGAAAGTTGACGGAAGAACGAATTGAGGATTCCTTTGCAGGTTTTGGAAACATTAAACAAAAATTACTCACTTAATTAATAATTTTTCAGGCAATATATGTAGATGTACTGGTTATAGACCTATATTGGAAAGCTTTAAGAAATTTGCTACCACCGACATAGAAGATCTAACACCATGTAAACTCAATAGAGTTACAAACAAAAAATCCCTACACTTTTCAAACGAAACCTCCAAGTGGATAAAAGTGTACAACCTGGAAGACCTCATAGAAAAATTGAGCGGTACAACTGAAACGTACATGCTCGTTGCTGGGAATACCGCCAAAGGTAATGCTACAACCACAATCTGACAATATTTTGAAATCAAATTTTTAAGGAGTGTACAAAGAAACTCCCAAAGTGTTTACCTACATAGATATATTAAGCGTTAAAGAATTAATAACCTGGAAACATGCTGATAATGAATTGGTACTAGGGGCCAACGTATCTCTGAGCGATACCAAAAAGATTTTCGAGGAGTTATCAAAAGAAAACATCAAATTTAGGTATTTGCAGAAGATTGCCGACCATTTGAACAAGGTGGCAAATCTACCAGTCCGAAATGTAAGACATTTTTTTATACTTGACGAGGTGTGTTCAGAAAATAACGGGAATTGTTAAATTTCGCGGGTTCGGAGGGTCCGTTAGTTTTTTATTATGTTGGTATACATGTCCCCGAAGTATGATAAAAACTTTAGCTGTTTTCATTGTTTACTTTGTCTGTGGCAGCCGCTAAGGTTGGACGTGTTTTATGAGCTCGGCGATTTTTCGTTCGTTAAAAGAAATTGATCAAAGAATTTGTATCCAATTTTGCTTAAAAAATTAAATAAATTCCGTGAAATGTTAACAAAGGCCTATAGTGAGTCTGCTATAAGTAAAACAAGAGTTTACAAGTGGTATAAGAGTTTCCAAGATGGCCGTGAAGACGTTGAAGATGACGAACGCCCCGAACGCACAAGCGCATTAACAACCGATAAAAATATGGAAAAAGTGGTTATAAACCATCAGAGAAGTCGCTGATGATGTTGGTATATCCTTTGGCTCATCCCATGAAATTTTTTCGAATGTTTTGGGTATGAAACGCGTGGCAGCAAAATTTGTTCCAAAATTGTTAAATTTCGAACAAAATTTTTGGCCAAAAACAATACTGTAATGATGCCACAGGCTCCATATTCGCCAGACATGCCTCTGTCTGACTTTTTCCTATTCCCAACAATAAAAAGAACCTTAAAGGACCGTTGTTTTGCAAGCATAGATGACATTAAAAGCGCATCGCTGAAAGAACTAAAGGCTATCCCAAAGATCGAGTTTTAGAAGTGTTTCGAGTATTGGAAGAAGAGCTGGCACATGTGCATAATATCCAATGGGGACTATTTTGAAGGCGACAAAAAACGAAAATTCCCGGAATTTTCTGAACACACCTCGTATAAACGTTTCATCCCAAAAAGGGACGTGTTCAAGGAATTTTTTGGGGAAAAAGGCACATTTTTTAATACTTTTACCGGTCACTATATATTTTTGTAGATTGGCACCTTGGCGGGAAATCTCATGATTAAATACCACAAAAATGAGTTTCCATCGGATGTCTTTTTGATTTTGGAGACTGTTGCAGCGACTTTGGTGATAGGTACAATTTTAGAATTGGGTTTTTTAATTTAACATTTAAGAAGTTTTTTTTAGTTGACACAATGGGAAATGAAGAAAGGGTATCCCCAAAAAAGTTTTTGGACCTTGATATGAACAAAAAAATCATAAAAAACATTGTTTTAGTTGGATATGACGAAATTTATAAATACGAAAGTTACAAGGTAGGTATATATAACAGAATAATGTTGTTTGAAAAAATAATAATTTTACTTCACAATTAGATCATGAAAAGGGCCCAAAACACCCATGCGAATGTAAATGCTGGTTTCCATTTTGGAATGAACAAAAACATTGTAAAATCCTGTACAATGGTTTATGGATCAATAAATCCTCATTTTGTGCATGCCACAAACACAGAAAATTACCTTAAAAATAAAAACTTATTTGACAATAAAGTGTTGCAAGAATCTTTCAAAATCCTTAGTGAAGAGTTAAAAGCCGTGGATGAGCCTCCAGAACCATCTCCAGAGTACAGACGAGATTTGGCAGTGGCTTTATTTTATAAGTTCGTTCTAAGTTTGGCTCCAGAGTATTTGTTATCATCGAAAACAAAGTCGGGCGGAAGTTTGTTGGAACGACCTTTATCGAAAGGAAGTCAAGAATATAGCACCAAAAAGAATATGTATCCCGTTTCTCAACCCATTATTAAATTGGATGCCCTAGATCAAACATCAGGCATTATTTTGTTATATTAAGAGTTATGTCGATTTGTTCATTTTTTGTTGTTTAGGTAGGGCCCAGTACATAGAAGACATGCCAGATCTTCCCGATCAACTTTTTGCACAATTCGTTGTAGCGAAATCTCCTGCGGGATCACTCATACAAAATATAGATCCCACGGAAGCCTTGGTAAGTACTAAGTACTAATAAATTGTCATGATAGTACACGCCAAAACATATAATTTTTGCATTTTTTCAAAAGCACTGGATGTCACTGACCTATCATATATAACCTCTATAGAGTTCAATGATATTATTCTTCCTAATGCAAAAACGATGATGATATTTGATATTTGGGTGATTTTTAAGAAACACCCGCTTTTAGGAAAATAAAGATCAAAATATTTTTTTTGCTTAAATTGACTTTTGGATTTTTATAAATGTTTAGAGTTTTGTTTACTTACATTAAATTTTAAGACAGTCAGTTTTAATTTTTTTTACGTATTTTTCAGAAAAATGTGTTTAGCTAGCTTTGTGGCGTTACCAATTTGAAATCCAAAATTTAATTCAATAAAAAAAGTTGTTATAAAAATAATTAGAAATAAAATGTACTTAGTTCACAAACTTTTGACTCCAATTTTTATTTTATTTTTTATTAAAAATTGTATGCTTTTTTTTAAAAAGAAACCATTCCGATTCTTTGTTAAAAAACAATACCATTAAAATTTTCTTTTAGTCACTGTATTAGTGAATTAAACTCTAATTTATAAACACGTATTACCAAGTGATAGTGTATAAAAATCATTTTAAGTATTTTTTTTACAAAAACTAAAAAAAGTAACGAAATAGACATTGGTATCACAACGGACAGGGGTACACAAAGGACTTAATCAGATAACGTAAAAAAGAAACTATATAGGGTGGTACGATTTTAGGGTAATGCATAAACAAAATCCCTTGTAGTGGTGCTCACTTGCAGAATAACAACTTAGATTTCTAAATTGTAGACACCCTTTTTCTTTAAATATAAGCTGGTGAAGGTCCCTTTTGGTACTTTTATATTGCGTGGAATTTTTCCTTGGATGTAATCTATATCATGAGTTGTAATTACAAATAATTTTAAATTGGTTAATAATAAACTACTTTTAATAAAAGCGACGGCAAATATCCACTTTGTTGTCGAAAAATTCTATTGCGTTACCCTAAATTCCATTGCGTTACCATAAGGTAACATAGTGGACTCGGTAACGCAGTGGACAAAGTTTTGTAAAACCATATTTAAAAAATAATAATAAGACATTATAGTCATTAATTACTCTCAATGAGCTTTTGTGCCCTAAAATAAACATAAACATGATAAATAGTATTTTTTCTTACCTTATTTTTATTATTTTTTTGAGTAACTTAGCGGACAAACAATTATTACATTCGCGTTACCCGCACCTGTTTCAACCGATATCTTCTTCCTGATTGAATAAATAAATTCAGCTGGGTAATGTGTAGGTACGTCTGAACATCATTTGTTGATCACGTGAGTACCAAAAAAGTTGCCATATATATGTTTTTTTAATATTCTATCGGTAACGCGACGGACGTAACGCAACGGAAAAAATGTCTGGGACATGAGTCAAATTTAAAAAAAGTAGATTAAAATTAATTATTTTATATATAAATTTAAAAAAAAACATGTATGTAAGTTTTATAAAACGCTAATGGGACATGCGAAAATGTGTGTTTCACAAGTTTCAAAATTAAAAAAAAATTATTCTGAAATAACTAAACAAAAATTGTCTGAAAGAGTTTACTAAGAGCTTGTTAGGCTTTCACTTGGTTTTTATTAAATCAATAAAATCCGATAATTTTTAACAAAGTTATTGGAATTCAAACTTACGGACAGTGGAAGGCGGTTTTTTTTAAAACGACCCATTTACTACATAACCACCGAATATCTGTGGAACAAAAAAATATCCCCAATTTTAGAAGCACCCAGGTGTGGTGCACTTCTTCGGCAAAGAAGACATCCCAGGAAAAAACAATTGGACTCCACTGACAGCGTCCTTGATATTTCTGACTCCAGAAGAATTGTTCTGCAGCGAAAAAGTTTTGTACTACGACCAACCCGTCGGTTTAATCGTGGCTCAAAGTCAAAGCATCGCAGATAAAGCTGCCGATTCGGTTCAAGTGAAATGTAAACTACCCGGAACTAAGCCGCTTTTGAAAATCCGCGACGTATTAAACGCTCCAGAGGATGTTAAAAAGCAACGCGTCACTCATATAACGGATTTAGTTCCCATCAAAAAAGGTGAAGGGTTTTTTTTTGGACTTTGCAAATTAAAATTTAACGTATTGCAGGTCATGATGTCAAAAAAGTTGTAAAAGGCGAGTATTATGAAGACCTACAATACCATTTCACCATGGAAACGCAGGTTTGTAACGTAATTCCAAATGAAGATGGGTTGGACGTATATGCTGCTACCCAGTGGATGGATGTTTGTCAAATGGGCATTGCAAATGTATTGGGAATACAGCAGGCACAGTAAGTTACACTGTTCAAAATTTCATGACCATTTTAACACCAAATTAACACCATACATGGTCTATATCGATACAAACCAAAATGGTGTTAAATATGGTCCGTTGGTCCAGTGAAAATTCAAATACTAAAATGGTGTAAATTTAACTTTCACACAGTATTAAAATAAATTTTACCTGGTGTAAATTGAACTCCTTTTCAGTGTTAAATATAATGTGTTTTTGGTCAAATTAAATCATACTACACAGAAAAAAAGGAAACAGGAAGTTCCTTGACGCATTACAAGTATATTACCAGTGGTATTATTCCAGAAAATTGAACCTTCAATGTTTTTAGTGCGTTCCACCAACTTAAAATACTTCAAATATTGACAGCTGTTTCCACCTATTTAAGGTTACTTTAGTATCGAACAACTTGTAGTGTCACACTAAAGCAAAGGACTATCTGAGCTTATATACTCTTCACGTAAGTCAACAGAGGCGAGATTTAAGAACATCACGTGATCCACACCGCCTTTGCCGCGATCGGTACACACTATGCAACCAGGAATGCACGGCAAATTGTTTTAATCGTTTTAACAGAGTGCTTTAGGTTGAAGTACCTCTTATTTTACAAACAACATATTTAGTAAACTGAACCATACAGCGGGTTGGTTTCACTAAAGTTTTCTGGGTTAATTTAACCAATTTAAAAAAAAATTAATATAGTTAAATGAACTATTCCTTTTTTTCTGTGTAGGTTCACTTCTCAAATAATTTTAGATTAACACCGTTTTCGTGTTTGCTGTATATAACATTTTCAACCATAATTCATGGTGTTTATATTAACACAACTTGTTGTTGGATTTTGACACCATTTTAAGATTACTTTTCACACCACAGATATTTTATTTCCCACCTTATCACAGTTAAGGGTTCCAAAATTATAAGTGCAAAATAGAGTTGGACAACAAATCAAAGTCCCCGTAACAAACCATAATATGTTTCAGAATAAATATTTATGTGAAACGTTTGGGTGGGGCATACGGTGCGAAAATTCTGCGCAGCACTTTCCCGGCGGCTGCAGCTTCTCTAGCAGCTTACCTGCTCCAGAAACCGGTGAAAATTCGCATGTCAATTGAGAAAACAATGGAGATTTTGGGGAAGAGGCCGTCGTGCCTTGTCACCTACGAAGTGGGGGTTAACAGTAAAGGAGCCATACAATACTTGGATGCCGATCTGTATTCAGGTTATGGGCCCAGTTCGAATGAGTATATTATTTTTTATTTTTTGGATGCCTTTAGAAGTGGATACGACCACGACACTTGGCACTATTCTTTTAACATTGTCAATACCGATGTCCCCGCAAATTGTTTTTGCAGAGCCCCTGGTAAAAAAAATTACCAGCCATTGCGGGTATTATTGTAATAGCAATAATTATATTTTAGGTTCTCAGGAAGGCATAGCTTCCATCGAAACAATAATGGATCATATAGCGTATACTTTAAGTTTAGATCCGCTGGAAGTTAGAATGGTCAATGTGAACAAATTGTCTCACTCTAAACTGTTTAATTACATTTCCGATTTGAAGTCTTGGGTGGATATCGATAAAATCAAAAAATCCAATGCCGAATTTAATAATGTAAGTATATCACATAATGTGTGTTTCACATTTGTGGTCCATTACTATTTATTACAAAGTAAACAACCATTTACAAACAATTAAAATAATTTATTATTTACATTACCACGTGGTACTGTACAGTAAAAAATGGCCGATAAGAAGCATTTTCCTTAGAAGTAGTTTTCGCTACTTTAAAGTTTTTTTCCATCTTAATTTACTTTACGGTAGTTTTGGTTAGTACCATAGACGTTCCAAATACTAAAATAATAACTTTTAAGTTATTAACTTTATAGTTTTTAACTCATGTTTCAGTTTAGATATTTTAACTTGCAAAGGGACTACAAAGTAAAAATAATTATAATGTAATCTTTAGGTAGCAACCGAAAGTAACTGCTACAAATTAAAGTTTTTTTTACTTATAACACCTTTTTTAAAGTTGCAAAGACTTCTTGGGGGCAACCAAGTTTAACTTAAATGTTTATTACTTTAAAGTAACCATTTAAGGAAAGAATTAAGTTTCTGTTACAAAATATTGCTATTTAAAAGTTAGAATTACTTTTATGTAAAAATTAAAGTAGCTGTTTAGTATACTTAACTAATTTAAAGTTATCACCACTTTGGTAATGGTTTTTGGAACCAAAAATGCTGCTTGGGATAGACCTCCCAGAAACTTCTAATGGACCACGAATGTGAAACACACTGTATGTTTAATTGTATACAATTAAAAAAAAATTATTTAAGGCAAATAGGTGGAAAAAACGCGGCATCTCCGTCATACCGATGGTATGGTCGTTAACCATCATTGGTCAACTACCTGCCCACGTTGCCATATTTCACGGAGACGGCAGTGTTGCCGTTAGTCATGGCGGAGTGGAGATGGGCCAAGGAATAAATACAAAGGTAAACTTACTTTTTTTTAACTCGCGCTACGGAGAAAAAGGGAACATACTTGAAAATTAAAATTACGATAAGAGAGATAAGAATAAAAAAAGATGGGCAATCCCAATATTGTTGATATTATAATATGTAAAATTATTTGGTGGACTGCCCAAGTAACATTTTTAGTTTTATTATGGTCTTCAAGAACGCTTTAAAGCGATCTTGAAGACCATAATAAAACTAAAAATGTTACTTGGGTGGAATCCACTTCATTGTGACACTGCTGTCAGTTTTTGTTCCTGTCATCCACGTTTATCTAGACATTTTTAATTTTTAAATTTGCCATCAGCTCTGTGGCGCGCGTTCTGGACACCCTGTAGGTGTTTTGATTGTTGTTTTTTTAGGTGGCGCAGGTATGCGCCTACAAGCTCGAGATACCCATTGAAAAAGTGTTCGTCAAACCCAACAACACAAATATAAGCGCGAATGCGTATTGCACAGCAGCTAGTCTTACCACAGAAGCTATTTGCTATGTGAAGTTTTATAACGGTTATAATTTTTACTTTTTATTGTGATTTTTTATTTTAGGCCACTATGAAAGCCTGCGATATTCTTCTAGACAGAATTAAACCTTTCAGGAATAAATTAATACATACGCCTTGGCAGCTTCTTGTAGCTGCAGCTTTTAATGCCAACATACAACTCAATGCGACTGCGCAGTAAGTATTCATTATGCAGTTTTAAATGTCTGTAACGGAAAAATATTTAAAAAAAAAAATTCCAAAGATAAAAAAAATATGTGATACGCCCCTGGTTACACACTTGTGTTCTGTGAGTACATAGATACCAACCAACAAAGTAGCTAGTTGTAAAAAAATTTACTAAAAATTTTTCTTGCAAAAAATAAATAAAAACTCAATAAATAAAAAAGTTCTATGCCTTTAAGGCTAACATCCTGTATATTAATATAATTAATTATTTTCTTAAACAGTTCTTTTCCTCATTTCCCTGACATAATCAACTACCCCATCTATGGAGCGGGGGCTATACAAGTGGAGGTGGATATTTTAACAGGACAGCATGAAATCACGCAAGTTGATATAATAGAGGATGTGGGGGACACCATGAACCCCCTCATAGACGTTGGCCAATTAGAGGGTGCCTTCGTAATGGGGGTGGGGTATCACACCACCGAAGAAATTATTTACAACGAAAAAGGGCAACTTTTAACCAACAGGACTTGGAATTATACACCTCCAAGTGCGAAGGATATTCCACAGAATTTCAACATTAAATTTCCTGGCAACAATCCCAATCCTGTAGGGGTTTTACATTCGAAAGGTTGGTTCTATAGAACTTTTAATTCAAAGATTAAGTAGAAAGTTTATAAAGAAAGACTTTTACTTTTAGCTATTGGTGAGCCCCCTTTATGTATGGCAATAGGCGTACCTCTAGCAATTAGAAATGCTCTAGCTTCTGCAAGAAAAGATGCAGATATAACTAACCCTGAATGGTATCCGATCAGTAAGTATTTTTACTCGTAAAATTACTATTTGTATATAAAACACGTTTTGTTTTAGATGGATGTTCTACCATTGAAAGTACATTTGTCAATTCTTTAAATAACTACGATAAATACATGCTTTAAATAACTGTAAGACTTACCCCGTCAAATAACAATTCAAAATCACTAAATAAAACCACTTAAACACGATTTTTTTAACAGTAACTTTTTAAATATTTGAAACACTGACGCCATGTTTAAAACAAAAGGCGCTCAAGACTTGCGCAGAAGGGCTGCCTACTAGATATTAAAACGTTGGATTTTACAGTGTGTGGATTTTTATTAATTTAAACTCTAAATCAATGTAAAAAGCATTTTTAATTAAAACTTATAGTCTCACAAATGTTTTCAATTTTGTCAAGTCTATACAACCCCTTTTTAAGTCAAAATCCAGGGAACCACAAATAAGATTTAAAAATCACTGATTTTACACAAATATCCAACTTAAAACAGTTAAAAACCCCAAAAAAAGAATTTTTTAAAACATGGATATGGACCCATTTAAAAACAATTGTGCGCACAGCCGATTTGTGATGTTGAATTCTTGTCAATTTTATTATTAATTTTTAGGATTTTAGATAAATTATTCTAAAAATAGATACCTAACCTAAAATTTATTCAAAATATTTTATCATAAAACTAAATCAGTGTTTAAAAAAACAACAATCAAAATATTTTACCATTAAACCAAGTCTGTTTAAAAAAAACAATACCTACTTTTCAAAAATATATTAAACCACTTATGTTATAATAGTTTTTAAGGTACCTATTAAAAAAATATTAAAACCTTTCACATTTCACAAATACTTAAAATTATCCACATTATTCACAAAATACTTAAAATTATCCATGCAAACATAAAAAAATAGACTATTTTTTGGAACTTCCTTCTTCAGCAAGATCTGAAAAAAATACTCTGGATAAGTAAGTTATTTGCATAAAATCATCAGTGTACATACTTTTACCATCACATGCTACAATTTTGACTTTGTCGATTTTGGTAATTTCTTGGACCTCCCTAAATTCCACATCGTTCAACATGAAAGTCCACACATTGTCACAAAACCTGTACGTATTCAATTTGCCAGCTTTAAAAGTTAACCGAGACTTAACTCTTGTGGCCAGAGTCGTGTTTATGGATTTATCGAACTGCAGTAAAACTTTACAGGCCAATTGAGGGGTTATTTGACCGTACTGCAAAAAATAAAAATGTATAATTATTTATGAAACGTTTTATTAATAACTTACTTGAATTAACTCATCCAAACTCTCTTGTAGAGTATGCCCGAGTGTGGTATTTCGGTATAGTTGATAAGACATTGTTTCATATATGAGAAAACAATAATTTTGAGACAAATCGGTTATAAAACTTCAACAAAACCGATCTGTCAAAATATTTTGGTGATAAACAGAGCAGCCACTAAAAACCTGAAAATCTCCAAGTTAATATGATTCATTGCAATGTTGCCGGGTTTCAGTACAAGAATTACAAGCATTAAAACGCAATTAATTCGATAATAAGTGTGTTTATTAGTATTATATTGTTTTGGGTAGGTATTTTTATTAAAAAGGGATCGTTAAACGTAAAAGTATTCGGTTTATTAGGGAAATAAATCGCGGTTGTTGACGAGTACTCGCAACGGTGCGTATAACACACATCAGCAATGACAGTTAGACGAACCCAACCTAAAAATGGCCGACGGGGACGATATTGTAACGGATCAAGAAAAAGTCCGTATAGTTACGGACTTTATATTGCATTCGCCGCCCGGCGAATTCAATGAGGTGTTCAACGATGTGCGAAAGTTGTTGAGTAACGATGATTTGTTAAAAGACGGGGCCGGCGGAGCTTTCTCACAGTACAACAAAGATCAACTTACCCCAGTTAGGATCGAGAACGCTGACCATTTGGTTTTAATAACCGAATACAACGATCTAGGAGGCTGCAGGTGAGTACCAACTTGCTAAAAAACTGATATTCGGGATTTTGCTTTATTTTACCATTTGGTATTTCCCCGAAAAATTGGTTTTATAGGTATTTAGATGTTTAAAAAAACTCTTTTTGCTTGTAGTAGGCTTACAAAGTAATATTGTTGTAGATTCTTCGATCCAAGATCAAAACAGAGCTTCAGATACGACCATTTGCGCAAAGAAGCGTCCGATTACCAGGCATTCAGTCCGGACAGTGCGGCGGAACCTTGGCGCGCCGCACTAGATGCCGAATTTATCCATTACACAAGAAACCACTACAAAGATGGAGTATCCAGTGTGGTTTCAAGGAACCAGGGAGGTGTTATAACCCTTACTGCCTGCATTGAAGACCATCAGTTTCAGCCGAAGAACTTCTGGAACGGCAGGTGGAGATCGCAATGGTCTATTTTGATCAATTCTGGGGCTGCCACTGCAGAAGTCAGGGGCATACTTAAAGTCCAGGTACTGTTGATTTTTTTTGTTTTAATAAATGATTTTGTGTTATTTTTAGCCATATTTGACCTTTTTGACATATTTTAGGTGCATTATTATGAAGAAGGCAACGTCCAGCTGGTGAGCACGAAGGAGATCAAGGAATCGATTTCTGTAACGAGTGAGGCGCAGACAGCCAAAGAGATCGTGCAATTAATTGAGACAGCAGAAAACACTTATCAAACTGCGATTTCTGAGAATTACCAGACCATGTCGGACACCACTTTCAAGGCTTTGAGGAGGCTGTTGCCTGTAACTCGTACCAAAATTGATTGGAACAAAATAGTATCGTACAGTATTGGAAAAGAATTAAAGACTCAATAAATAATTATGATAGATTGTTATCGCTTAGGAATGTTGTGTACATACTTATTGCCAGGTCTTGTTAAGTTTATGGCAGAGCAGGGGTGGCCATTTTCGCTAGTAAATTTGAAATTATCTTTTTTCTTTGCTTTGGAATTAAATTTGGGAAGAATATCTTGTTTTTCGGTACAGGGGCTGCCACTGTGCTGTTGTGACCTTTTTATTATCATAATTTATATAAAATACATAAATACAAACTTATTGTAAGCATTTTACCATGTTTTTAATCAAACTAAATATATTTTATATTATTTTACATATTTTAAAATTATTTGTAGCTAAAAAAATAATACAATTAAAAATGTCTTTAATTTACACAAATCTTATATTATTTGTACGATTTCTTTTTCAGTGGTGTATTTAAAACCTAGATTGCCCAGTATTAAGAACTATATTAAATTAAAATCAATATTTTAGGTTTTTGACAAATTGGCGCCCAACGTCAAAAATTAAAAATCTGTAAAATTTTTATGATTTTTGGAGATTCTACTAAAAATATGACAATCTTTCCAGTGGCGTACTAAGATTTATGTAAAAATTTATATTTAACGTTTTTGATAAATTGGCGCCCAACGTCAAAAATGTTTGTAACTTCTGCAAATTTTGTCTTATTTTTATGATTTTTGGAAATTGTGCTAAAAATATGACGATCTTTTCAGTGGCCTATTAAGATTTATGTTAAAATTTATATTGGAAAGTTTTTGATAAATTGGCGCCCAATGTCAAAAATGCTTGAACTTCCATAAATGTTGACGTATTATTATGATTTTTGGAGATTCTACTAAAAATATGACGATCTTTCCAGTGGCGTACTAAGATTTATGTAAAAGTTTATATTGAACGTTTTTGATAAATTGGCGCCCAAAGTCAAAAATGTTTGTAACTTCTGCAAATTTTGTCTTATTTTTATGATTTTTGGAAATTGTGCTAAAAATATGACGATTTTTTCAGTGGCGTATTAAGATTTATGTAAAAGTATATATTTAACGTTTTTAATAAATTGGCGCCCAACGTCAAAAATGTTTGTAACGTCCACAAATTTTGTCTTATTTTTATGATTTTTGAAAATTGTGCTTTAAATATGACGATCTTTCCAGTGGCGTATTAAGATTTATGTTAAAATTTATATTAAACGTTTTTGATAAATTGGCGCCCAACGTCAAAAATGTTTGTAACTTCCACAAACTTTGTCTTATTTTTATGATTTTTGGAAATTGTGCTAAAAATATGACGATCGTTCCGGTGGCGTATTAAGATTTATGAAAAAAATTATATTTAACGTTTTTGATAAATTGGCGTCCAACGTCAAAAATGTTTGTAAATTCCACAAATTTTGTCTTATTTTTATGATTTTTGGAAATTGAGCTAAAAATATGACGATCTTTCCAGTGGCGTATTAAGATTTATGAAAAAATTTATATTTAACGTTTTTGATAAATTGGCGCCCAACGTCAAAAATGTTTGTAACTTCCACAAACTTTGTCTTATTTTTATGATCTTTGAAAATTGTTCTAAAAATATGACGATCTTTGCAGTGGCGTATTAAGATTTAAATTTAAGGTTTTTGACAAACTGGCGGCCAACGTCAAAAAATAAAAATATTCGGATTATCGTTAAAATTGGTATTTTAGGTTTTTGACAAAAAAACAATAATTTCAATATTTTTTTAATTAAAGTTTGAAAAATGATGGGTAATTAAATAGTGACACAAAACCATTTCTTTGTACTCCATTTGAATACAAATAACAATATCTATCCGTCAGTTTAACGCTAAATTTGTCTTACTTTCTGAAAATAATACAATATATGTATGTTTTGTGTTCTAAACTGAGACCTTTATACGCAAAAAATACATCAGAAATAAATAAATATTGTTGGGTGTGTACATAACCTTTTTTGACAACAGGGCACATTTTGACCAATAGAAAGCTTGATACTTGTGACATCACAATAAAGTAAAAATAACTCTGGAAAATTAATAAAAAGTATATTAATGGAAAAGTAAATCAGTCATTTAGTCTTGATGAGGGGAATAAAATTTGCTGGGCAATATAGACGATGATATGGAGTTTCCACTGTATGTGCTGCTGTATTTAATACTTTGCTCGATAACCCTGTCGTAGAACCTGGACAACTTAACAGCATTTGTGGTGGCTGCGGCCAAATATCTCACCCCTCTACAATCCAGAATAATTTCATCCGCCCCGACCTCGTTGGCGAATTTTCTCCTGTTGGGTTTTTTATCGTCCGCCTGGTCCAGTTTGGTTCCGATTACGAGAATGGGGATTTGAGAGGCCCCCAGGAAACTCTCCGAGTCGTATTCGTCGTTACTGCACACACTTGTGAGAGCCACGTCTCGATACAGCACCTCTTGCAGCCACTTGTTCAGGTTCTCCTCGGATTTTATGTTACTTAGATCGTGCACTAGTATGAGACCATGACAGGGATTGTAGAACACCTGGCGTGCGTTTCGGTGATTGTTGCTACCGCCGACATCCCACAACTCGACGAAAAACGTCTTTTGTTCCTTGGTTCCCTCTTTAAACTCGTGCAGTTTTACTTCTACGGAACACCCCACTGTCCAACTGGGGGACTTCAGAGGTTTGTTGTGCGCTGCTAGGTGAACGAAGGATGTCTTTCCTACACCGGAATCGCCCAGAACAACTATACGAACTCGTTCTATAGCCGACATATCTATTTTTTCTTCCTACGAACAATTTATGAGGTTAGCCTTCGTAAAATCTTAAATATTAAATGGGAAATACCTTTTTTAACCTTAAAAAGCATTGCCAAAGACACCGCGGGTTGTTAATTCAATTAAATTAGTAAAAACATGTTGACATTAGCCGTCAAAAATAGAGAGATTAGGTTATGTGTTTGTCATTAAAAGTTGTGGGTATGCAACCAGGATTACTTAATTTCTGATTTTTCAAAAAAGATTTTCCTCTTTTACTAATAAAGCCTAGAGAGAATGTTTACAAATTATTAAACAATACAACATATTATGATATGATTTGTTAAAATGACGCATTTATCTTAAGTTAATACGCACATCATTTATATTAAAATGAAATGTAAGTTTTTATTTTCTTGTATTATTATTTTTTTTGATTTTTTCGTTTGAATAAAGAGCAGGTATAGCTATTTTTGGTGTATTTGTATAATTTGTAAAATATTCCAAGCTTTGTTCTAGGGGCGACCAAATAAAAAATGTAATAAAAATTTTAAGTAAGTACCTTAGGTATAATTAAGATTAAGATACATAGGTATTTACTTAAAATATATTTTACGCGAATTTCCTTTCAAAGATTCGGCCCTGACTGAGTTTATAAAAGGGTTCCAATATCAATTTAAATGTTAAATCGTTCCGAACTGGTTTAATTAAAAGTGATCTGCGAAATATTTAGTGCTCTCTGAAATGCTTATATTTTGGACAATTTTATTAGTGCTCTGCGGTGTTTCATATACATTACCAGGTATTTTATTTATGATAAATGTTTATGAAGTTACTAAAAAACGAAATTATTGTTATGCTTAAATTTTTAAATTTTATGTAAGAACTTCTTTGACTTCTTACTAAGAAGTCAAATAAAAAAAAAATAGGTTTAAAAAAAGGAAATTGGTAATTTATTGTAAAAGAAATTCTCCCAAACTTTTTTTATTACATTTACAAGCATTACTATATCTAATACATTTTTGTATAAAGAGAGATTTTTTTAATAAGAAAATGGCAATTTTATATAAATATTTAATGTGGGTAATTGAGTATCTTATTTTTATGTTTTTTGGAAGGTGTACTCAAAATATGACGATCTTTCCAGTGGCGTATTAATATTTATGTGAAAAATTACATTTTAGGTTTTTTACGAATTGGCGCCCAACTTTAAAAAATTAAAAATGCCTGTAACTTCTATAAATTTTGTTTTATATATATCATAAATATTTTCATTTTATATTATTTTTTGAAAAAAATCGAAAGGTTCTTTAATTTACCATTTAAAAATATAAAAACATACCGGGTGTTACATACATATACTAACTGACAAAGAAATTGCAACACCCAGAAGAAGGTGCTCGATTTAAATAATTACTTGATCAAATATATGTACAAGGAGTAAACGATTAGAATTTGGAGAAAAAATACCAAGGATTTTCAAAGTTTTTTTATTAATTTTGTTAATAATGTGTTGGTCAACCGTGATAATCTACACACTCCCTAACACGCCTTGGCATTGATTGAATGAGGTGGTCTATTTCTTCTTGAGGTATAGTATCCCAAGCTACCTGTACTTCATGTCTTAGAGCCTCCAAAGTCCTTGGGGGCTGAGGTAGATTTCCTAGCCTTCTACCCATCACATCCCAAACATGTTCTATGGGCGAAAGGTCGGGGGATCTGGCTGGCCATGACATTAGATTCACATCAGTGGCGTAATAAGCACCCCCGCAGACCCCGCACCGCGGGGGGGGCCAGACGGTCAGGGGGCCCAAGGCGTTCTTTTTCGAAACTAAAAATAGTGAAAACATATCTTCGTAACACTATGGGAAAACAACGTCTTTGTAATTTATCAATTATTAGTATTAAACATGAGTTTATTAAGACATTAAACATTGACAATATTATAACTGAATTTGCAAAAAAAACTCTAGAAGATCAGACCGTTTTTTGTAGTAAATCTATAAATACTTAGACAATCGCATTTTGTGTTTATGTTTTTAATTTTTTTTTTAATTTAACTTCTTTAAGACTGTCTACAATATGTTTTTAATTTTTTTTCAAGACTGTTTAAACTTGGTAAGATATGTATACATTTTTTAAATTATTATTATTTTTAAATTGTTATTATTGCTGATATAATAGTATAATACTGCCGTTCTAAGAAAGGCAAAATTTGGTAATAAGAACAAAAAATGTTTAGGTAATTATTATTTAAATATTTTTTTAAAAGATTCTTAATAAGATATTATATATTATAGAATTGCGAAAATGATCCTGCATATAAAAAAGTATATAGAATTAGATATTTTTAAACCAAAATTAAATAAATATTTTATGTTTTACTACCAAAAATTGCAGATACAGCAATTTTTCTTACCTAATCCTTTTTTATTTGCTTATCGTATGTCTGTCTATCGTATACACTCTATACCTACCTGTCAAAATTTTTAATTTAAAAAATATTATGTATATAATGTAGGTTTAAAAGTACAATGATAAACTATTTTAAAAATTACCTATTAAATAAACTTTTTAATTATTGTAAAGAGGGCCAATTAAAATCGTTTGCGGGGGGGCCCACTAAGAATTTGTTACGCCACTGATTCACATGGGCCTCTTCAAAAAAGTTCAAACAAACTCTGGCAACATGAGGCCGCGCATTATCTTGTTGAAATATTGGATCCACAAGCCGATTAAGATAAGGGAGAACATACGGCTCCACTACTTCCTGAAGATAACGTTGCGCTGTCATGTTGCCTCTAATAAAGACTAGAGGTGACCTACTTCCATGAGCAATAGGACCCCATACCATAACGTCTACTGTTCGGTGTACATGACGCTCAACATCAAACTGAGGTTGACGTCTTTCTCCCCGACGTCTTCTGACCCTTCTTCGGCCGTCATGTCCATCTAAGCAGAATCGGGATTCATCAGAGAAGACGACTTAAAGCCATTCCACGTTCCAATGTTGTCGTTCTGTACACCACTGTAGTCGTTGCCGTCGATGCACAGCGGTCAGAGGTAGCACAAGATGGGGCCGATAGTGCTGCAGTCCAAAAGACCTTATACGGCGGTAAACCGTTCGGACACTTAAAAGTCGGCCTTGTTCTCCTAACCACTCATCAGCCAAAGATAGAGTTGTCGAAAATCGGTCTCTGAAGGCCATAAGTCTTAGACGTCGATCTTGAACTTCATTTGTGCGCCTTCGAGGTCCAGTGCCTACTCTTCTCCGGTTTTGGGCATTATCAAACCACCCTTGACAAAATCTCATTACAGTAGTTGGATTTCTGTTAGTGCGGTTGCCGATTTCACGAAATGAAAAACCCGCCTCCCGTAGACCAATATTTCGGCCTCTTTCAAATTCACTCAGTTGGCGATAAATTCCTCGTACTCGTGCTCTGGGCATTTTAACATTACTAAAACACCCAACTTAACAGTAAAATTTTTTGAAATGGAAAAAAAGAACCGCAAAAAACTCGACTAAAACAATTTCTTTGAATCGTGAAAAAAATTGTTTACATGAGAACGACTGCATATTTCTTTACCAAATTTTAATGGTTTACTCCTAGCTATAGTACATATATTTGAACAAATAATTATTTAAATTGGACACCTCCTTCTGGGTGTTGCAATTTCTATGTCAGTTAGTATATATGTAAAATAAAATTTTTTTTAACTTTTCAATTGATACTATAAATGTATATCTTCTATATATATCTTCGTTAATAACAGAGATAATAACGTAAATAAAAAAACAAAATGTTAAGAAAAGATAGGCTTATAGTATGATGCACCCTACAATGTGTCACAAATTTCAGGGAAAAATCTTATTCTTACTTTTGCACCCTGTATTGTAAAATTGTTTACCATAGCATCGTAAATAAAAAGTCAACAATTGTTGACTTTTAAACAATTAAAAAAAAATCACCAAAATCAGACTAGCGGTTTGCGAGGAAATTAACATATATTAATTATGCAGGTATACGAGGTGTGTTCAGAAAATAACGGGAATTGTTAAATTTCGCGGGTTCGGAGGGTCCGGTTGTCATAAAATTTTCTTTATTATGTTGGTATACATGCCCCCGAAGTATGATAAAAACTTTAGCTGTTTTCATTGTTTACTTTTTCTGTGGCAGACGCTAAGGTTAGACGTGTTTTATGAGCTCGGCGATTTTCATTCGTTAAAAGAAATGGATCAAAGAATTTGGTATCCAATTTTGCTTAAAAAATTAAATAAATTCTGTGATATGTTAACAAAGGCCTATAGTGAGTCTGCTATAAGTAAAACAAGAGTTTACAATTGGTATAAGAGTTTCCAAGATGGCCGTGAAGACGTTGAAGATGACGAACGCCCCGAACGCACAAGCACATTAACAACCGATAAAAACATGGAAAAAGTGGAAAAAATAGTTATAAACCATCAGAGAAGTCGCTGATGATGTTGGTTTATCGATTGGCTCATCCCATAAAATTTTTTCGAATGTTTTGGGTATGAAACGCGTGGCAGAAAAATTTGTTCTAAAATTGTTAAATTTTGAACAAAATTTTTGGCCAAAAACAATACTGTAATGATGCCCCAGCCTCCATATTCGCCAGACATGCCTCTGTCTGACTTTTTCCTATTCCAAAAAATAAAGAGAACCTTAAAGGGCCGTCGTTTTGCAAGCATAGATGAAATTAAAAGCGCATCGCTGAAAGAACTAAAGGCTATCCCAAAGATCGAGTTTTAAAGTGTTTCGAGTATTGGAAAAAGAGCTGGCACATGTGCATAAAATCCAATGGGGACTATTTTGAAGGCGACAACATTAATGTAGACGAATAAATAAATATTTGTTTCAAAAAACGAAAATTCCCGATATTTTCTAAACACACCTCGTATTAATATTCATAATATCTAATTTTTTAGATGAAATCTCGGATCTGCTTCCCCCCATTTTTGAAATGGACGATTACAATAATTGCAACTTTAATTTCAACAAATATTGCGAAATTAAAATCGAATTGACGTCGTTAAATAATGGGACCCAAATTTGGAAACATATACAGGTAATACTTGTTTGTTATACTTACAGTAAACATAATCAAGGTTTGCAAATCTCGCGAAGTCACATATTTATTTTTAAATTTGCAGACGTTTACCTTGCGCAACGTTGGTATGTCAAAAAATAAAGTAAATGAGCATTTTCACTGAAAAAATACAATAATTAGTACTGGAAATTTCATCATTTTGTATATCTATATAAAATCAATTTTTAATCTAGTTATCTATCTTTTAGAACACAAAACAAAATCCAAACCGATACGATCAAGACCTACTGAGACGATTACTATGTCTTCCTTCCAATCCCGAAGAAAATTCTATCAACAAGTCCTTGAAAAGTGTCCAATCAAAATTAACCCAACAATACGGGCACTTGGATCTACGTTTCGACATCAAAAATGTTTCTTGTAAATCCCCTGTCGAAGTTGACATGAACGACGTTTACGAGTATATTTTATAGTAAGTATAGGTACCTACATGAATTAAAAATTATAATTGATTTTATTTTTTATTATTTCAGCTTGACGATTATAAGCTATTTATGCTTTATTGCTTTCGCTTCTTACATGCATTATAAAAAGGGGAAAGGTAATTACAAAAATTATAATTTTTGCGATGGTCGATAAGTTTTAAATAAATCAAGGTCTCTTTATCAAGGGCTTCGCTAGCGTGTTTTAAGAAAATAATTTTTTTTCAACATATTAATAATTATTATGTATGAATGAATATTTTTAAAACAAATAACCAGAAAACTAATTGCAAGACATTTATTTTTTTCCAGTGAACAAATACATAAAATCCTTCTCAGTTTTGCACAACTGGGAATCTGCTTTACAAAAAAATACGAATCCCGATTTTCAACGATTAAAATCATTGCAAGGTATTCGTACAATTGGTATGTTTTTGGTGGTGATGTGCCATGCCAACCTCAGTATAGGTTCAACGTACATTCGAAACACTAAATATTTAGAAGATGTAAGTATACCTACTAAAATATTAGTGGTAATAAATACTATTATTAATATTGACTAAACAAGGGACATTTTTTTTTCAGGTCGCCATAATGAGTTTTTTAAGATGGCATCCATTACTTATCTAAACATTTATATAATATTTTTTCACAAATATTTTTCTAAAATATAATAAGGAAAGTTTTAGTTATTAACCAATGATTAAAACTAAATGATTTTTAAAAGATTTTATAAAATTTTGTAGGTTTTAAGTTTTGTTGAACTTTTACCCAAGCAATAATTTTTCTTAAAACCGTAAAATATTTAGAGGGCATATAATTTTTAAGATGTATCGTGCCTATTTTTATCGATAAAATAATGTGCGTTTGAGTTTTGATGCAAAATATTATTAGTTTTGACAATTTAAGTTATATTTTTTAATTTTACTCTAGGGTGGCCTTAAGGGAATAAATTTATTCCTTTTTAAGTACCATTTTATAAAATATAAATTAAAAGAGAAAATAAATTACGAATGTGAATGTTTTAGAAAGAGAGAGCAAACAGTTAGTAACTATAGCTTTATTTTTACGTAAATTTGTGGTATTTATATTGTTTTTATTACGTTTTTCTCTTAGTACATCAAAAAGGTTATTATGTAGGCAAAATAATTATTCCTTAAGGAAATAAACCATTCCCCAAATTTGGTAATTTTTCGTATCTATACCGTTATAAAACCGTTTTGGTTAACCGTAAAAAATACTTTAAAGTTGACTTAGTGGTAAATTTGTGGTTATTTAAACTTAAAATGCTGCTTGGGGAAGCACCGAAGCCCAAAAGTTATAATTGTCATTATAATATAATCTCGAATGTATTATAACATAATATAGTATTGATGTATTTTTTTTTAGTTGTTTGACAATGTTTTTGTGTATACAATAATAGACTTGGATGTACATATTGTCCAAATATTTTTCATTATATCTGCTTGGCTGCTAGCCTTGCAAATGAACGAGATGTTGGCAAAAAATGGGGAATTTAATTTAAAATCTGTTTTTGTTGTTTTAACAAACAGACTCATGAGGTACGTATACGTATACCTATATATACATATATAGGGCATCATTTTTGACAAATATATTATTATTTAGAGTATGGCCCTGCTTAGCAATAATGATAGCCTTACACAAAAGCAAATCTGGTTTCGTTTTATATCCAGGCCCTCTAAATGACCATTTAAAAATGGACAACTTTAACTGCAACAATAACTGGTGGCAGACGCTATTTTTCGTTAACAATTTGGTTCTAAATCCAAATCAAGTCGTAAGTGTGGTGTGATACGAGGGTTGGTCAATAAATACTTGCAAAATCCAGTTTGCTGTCAAAATAATTATATGAATATTCATACAAAATATTTTACCAAAAATTACTAAAAAAATAACCATATTTTTTGACCCCCTCGTATAGTACTTTCAAAATAAAAAAACGTTTTTTGTAGTGTAATATTGGTACATGGTACATATCCACTGATATGCAGATGTATGTTTTTTCTGTATTTTTATTTTATTTTATGACGAAATATAAACTAGGAATGAAGACCCTAATTTCCGTATTTTTCACTTTTGTGGTGCTTTTTGGGGGAGTTATTTTCTTTAATGATTTGGACATGACTGTGAGTGTAGGAATTGAGTGAGTACTTAACATTATACTTCAAAAATTCATTTAAAAATATTACCAATTTATGTATTTTGTAGAGTCTCAACTGTTGATAATCTGATAAATTCAACAACCTTATTTTTCCTGTATTTTAATACAGTTTCATGTGCCAGTACCTTCATTTTGGGACTTATTTTTGGGACAATTTATTTCAAGTATAGAGATACAGATATTTTTCAAAATAAGGTAAATTAAGTAAAATATTTTTACACATTGTCTTTTTTTTTTAATTTTTAGATCCTATTGGTATTATTTTGGATGTGCTGGATTTTTCCATTTTCAGCAGTGTGGATATCCAGTAATTTTAATTTTAGAGGGGGACTGGGGGCCATCATTGGGTCACTTCTAAAGCCTTTATTTACTTTAGGATTCAGTATATTTGTTTTAGGACTTTCCCAAAATAGAGGAGGTAGGTATAAAATAGTTATTTGTTTTACAAATGTTAAAAAGCGACTTTTTCATGCGAGTGTTTAAGTTAACACGAGCTTGAAGAAAGCTTTTCTAACAAGTGAAACACAATGTTTTTTCTACGACCCTTTAATTTTTTAATATTCTCAAATACAAAACAAAATAACCTAAAAACCTGCTTGACAGTTGTTAAAATTACTTTCATCTTCTAATTCTTTTATTTTTTAAGGTATAAGTTACTTAAAATCAATAAACTTACCTTCTCAATTTAAATAAAGGCACAAAAAATTAGAATTTATTATAAAAACACAATTAATTATGTTCTAAACGATATTTAGACATTCATATACAAATACAATACAAATTTTGAAACGAATGTCAAACGATGCTGTCAATTTCTTTTCACACAGACCTGTCACTTTTCAAACAGAAATATCACTTTACATTCGTGTTTTGCCTTGCCAATGAAAAGATTCATTTTCTAAGCAACGATGCCATTATGAAATGTGACTTTTACATAGTGGTCGTAGAAAAAATCATAAATTTGGTCAATTCAAACATTTATCTAACAACGATTAATTTTAGGTATTCTTAAAAGATTTTGCGAATTAAGAAATTTTGAAATAATTGCAAATTTTTGTTTTTGCACATATTTATTCCATTTTACCGTGGTTTTTGAAAAACTGCACACTCAAACCACACTGTTAAATCTGTCAGTACTATCATTGGTAATACATTTATTTCTTTACTATTTTTATTTAATGCTACATTTTCAGGCTGAAATTTTGGCTTCCGATTTGTCAAAGTCGTTTTTGATCGGGTTTTTTATGTTTTTTATTTTGGAAAAACCTGTGTACAATTTACAGAAAATGTTCGGACCAAAATGCTTCTACAGAAGTAAAAAAGAATAAATTATTTGTTTTACGATAATAAAAAATAAAATTATGTTGGAATGTTTTATTGTTTAGATTAGAAAAATTAATATTTTTAATGTATAACTATGCAACCTAATTACACTTGTGTCAATGTGGGTTGCCTTTAAAAGTTTGGACATTTTTACAATTTAAAAAATAAAAAGAGTTAATATATTGGAAAACAAACATTGTAAAGATAGGTAGGTGCGTCAAATTAAAAAAAAATTGGCAATTAAATTTAAAATTGATAAATAACTCGTGCGTGCGCGCGCATCCAACATACGACACTTGACCCAATCAACGACAATCTTTTTATTTACTCATTTTCGTCTGCCACCGGAAAATCCCATTTTCTGTTCCGCAGAATGCAACAAGTGACGGAGAGAAGTGAGGTTAGGTGCGACGAGCCGTGGAAACGGGCGATTTAAGTTAAAAGTGTTTGCGGGAATCCTTTCGTGTGACCTTTGGCACCTTTCAAAATGGCAACAGGTGATTCCTACGATAAACAGGTGATTCTCACGATAAACGGCAACAATGAGGCGTCGGTCATCGTCCAAAACACGCAGCAGAACGGTAGGACCACTTGATTATTATCCGTTAATTTCTCTATAGATTAAATTGATGTTTTTGTTTGTTCATAGCGCTCTATTTATGTTTTCATTGCCTTGCTATCGCAATCTATTAGTTATTGAAGCTATTGCCTCAATTAAACAATAATAAACAATGATGCTGCGTTAAAGATGATTTATTTAATCAACAAGTGTCCATGCACCGCCTGTTTACCATTATTCAATTATTATTAACCTAATATTATTTAATTTTAAGGTTCTTTTAAATGTTGTTTGCCTTTTTAAAACATGTATATTACCTTACATGTAATTGATATTAAAGTACATGTTTTTAAGATAGGTATCAGATTAGATAAATATATCCTATAGAATTTTCATTTTGGATGTCATAAATAATTATTATTTTTCATCGTGCCAATATATATAATTTATATAAAAACCTAAGATTATAACTTAATAATAAGTTTAACTTGTGAATTGGAATTCCTTAAGGTCAAGATGATTAACTCTTTCTTTATTAATAATGTTATTTGGGTTGCATAATATTAAATTTCAAATCATATTATTATTTTGCATTAATAAAAAGTATGCTAGCTATTGCAAAACGTTGCGTTTAAGCTAATTTAGATATAAATAGGTATTTACATTTTTAAATAAATTAGCTTTTTCTTAATTTCTAATTCTTAACATTATCAAACACAAATACAAAGGGAAAAACGTGCCTTTAACGAACTAAAGAACGCCCTATAAAGGCTAACTAATGGAACTGTTCATATTAATATAAACAAACCACATTTCATCCACCATAATATACAGGGTGTCCCGAAATTAGGGGGCCAAACTTTAACAGTGCATTCTTTATATAAAAATTACACTTTTTTGTTTTATAAACATATATCAAAAAATGCCCCCTAACGGAGCTACGCCCCCCTAAATAGAAGCTTAAGAGCATAATTTTTTTTAACTATTCCTGGAGGGTTGAACATGAAGACCTGAATTTTTGGAACTTTGGTAATTTTGACATTCTGAATCTGGATCTATAATCAAAACTGTTAAAATTTAATCATAGGCGTAACATTTGAGGGGGTAAATTTACAAAAACAGCCCCAACATTTTGCAGAGTGAGTATTTTAATGTTTTGTTATAAAATTATGAAAATGTATAGTTTTTTACGAAAAATAGGTACTCTTGCTTTGAATCGCTCAGATGCACCATTTTCGAGAAAATTGCAATTTAAATTACTATGCTTAGCATAATTTCTAATATTTTCATTAAAAAGCTTTGGGACAAAAGTGACGTTTGGGTTATTTGCTGACTTTACATTTATTTTTATAGTTTAGTTAATATTTTTTGGCTCGATTTTTGGTATGTTTTATTATGGAGCGATTTTTCAAATTTTAACACAAAATTTTAACGAAAATATGAGATGTGTATGCTATGCAGAGTAATTTATAAATGCATTTTTCTCGAAAATGGTGCATCTGAGCGATTTAAATCAAGACTACCTATTTTTCGTAATAAACTATAAGTTTTCATAATTTCATAAATAAAAATTAAAATATTATCTCGGAAAAAAGTTCGGGCTATTTTTATAACTTTTCCCCCCCAAATGTTACGCCTATGATTAAATTTTAACAGTTTTGATCTTAGATCTTGATTCAGCATCTAAAAATTACCAAAGTGCCAAAATTTCATTTCTTTAGGTTTAACGCTGTAGGAATATTTAAAAAAAACTATTCTCTTAGGCCCCTATTCAGGGGGCCGTAGCTCCGTTAGGGGGCATTTTTTGATACATGTTTATTTAACAAAAAAATGTTACTTTTCTATGAAGAATGCACTGTTTAAGTTTGGCCCCCTAATTTCGGGGCACCCTGTATACTATACTTATCCATTACATTAATTAATATATTATTGTGAAATGTAATACTAAATCTTTATTAAATTTACAAGAAAAGTACAAAGCAATGTGTTGTAATAAAGACCTAGTAAAACATAACATTTTTATTTTAAAAATTGTTTATTAGGTAATAAATGGAATCCATTATATTTAAATTAATAAATAAATAATTATTAAAAATAGAATTTTTGTATTGGTCCTTTAAAGATAAAAAAACTTACCTACGATTTTTTTTAATATATAATGTCACTGCAAAAAGTAATAATAAAGTTATTTTTATGGTACTATGCTCCACACCTCAAAATCCCACCACGTGACCACGTACTGAACGCAGTCTTTTAAAAATTTGGCATTTAAGGCTTTTCAGGTTATGTATCTGTCAAAGTATAGTCAACGAAAGAAATAATATTATGTTTAGGCGTTAAAAAATCTTTATAACATTACAATAACAATGGATGGTTTAAGAATTTAAGAATATAAATACTGCATTTAATGAAATTCTAAAATGTATGGTGCCAAATAAGTAATATTTTTGTGCATTTGGTCCAAATATCTGGTTTTCTCCATAAAATAATTTTAACTAAACAGCATTTATTAAAAAAATCTAGCTTCTCTATATATGGAATAAGAATATCTGTTTTAAAGGTAGGTTAATATATTATAACAAAAATATCATCTAATTTTGTAATTTTAAGGTTAGAAAAATTTATTTTGACCAAAATAAATAAGTATTTTGGATTATTTAAAATAATATTAAAATATTAAAGTTATAATGATTTTTTGATGTAGATCAAATTCATTCAAAGCTTTTTAACTATTTGTATTGACAAAACTTTATGTAGGTACACTTTAAGCTGGATAAGAAAAACCTATAGGTATACCTACATAAAGTTTTGTCAATACAAATAGTTAAAAAGCTTTGACTGAATTTGATCTACATCAAAAAATTATTACAACTTTAATATTTTAATAAATCACATGTCATGGAAGTATTAAATATTTTCACATTCCAAGTTTCTCTAAAAATTGTTTGTTTTCTTATAATCAAACTTAAAGTAGGTATGCCGAGAGGTATGCACAAGTTTTGTCGTTAGAAGTATAAAAGCTTCAATTTAATTTGAACCATATTCAACAATTATTTAGTATACCCATATTTATTAATGACCATAATATGGTCATATTATTAACACACTCTTCCAAATAATCCACTTATTTATTTTGGTCAAAATAGATTTTTCTAACCTTAAAATACTAAATTAAATGATATTTTTTGTTCCAATACATTAACCTACCTTTGATACAGATATTCTTATTTCATAATAGAGAAGTTAGATTTTTTTTAATAAATCCTGTTTAGTTAAAACTATTTTATGGAGAAATGTAGACCCAATGCACAAAAATATCACTTATATTGCACCTTACACTTTGGAATTTCATTAAATGCAGTATTTTATTCCTAAATTCTTAAACCAACCATTGTTATTGTGATACTATAAAAATTTATTAACTTTTAACGCTTAAACATAAGCGGTAACACTATAAATATTATTTCTTTCATTGACTATACTTTGACAGATACATAACCTGAAAAGCCTTAAATGCCAAATTTTCAAAAGACTGCGTTCCGTACTTGGTCACGTAGTGGGACTTTGAGGTGTGGAGCATAGTAGGTACCTATATGAGTTAACGATCTAATTGGTGCTACTAGAAGTAGAGGTAAAGGTACATTATTATTATTATTATTATTACTTATGTTAAAAAAGGTCAAAATATTAACATTCCATAATTTTGAAACACTCTATACATAAAGCACGGGACCATGATGTAACTAATAATTTATATATGTATGTACAATATTTGGTATCCGGGATTCAGGAAGGTCCCGAATAGCGATAACCCACATATAGTTTACTTAAAGCGGCCATATTTCAAAATTTGTTCTATCTGAACGGCTACCTACTTGACCCCGCTTCGATAATAACAATTAAAAATCGTTTTTTTCAAGACCGACTTTCAAACAAAATTTTGATATTATTTACTTGAATTCAAGGATAAATGTTATTAAAAATAATTTTTTTCTAGATGGTAAGTACTTACCTACATATTTTGATGTTACTTTTTTTAAATACCTTAATAACTCAAAAACTAGAAAACTAGAAAATAATCAGATTTGCAATTTTTATACTGAACGAAAATGTTGTAATGTTAATAAAAAGCCAAAGCCAAAAACAATATGGCGCGGCACTAAAAAATTTATTTTTCTGAATACGAGTACGAATTGTGTTCAGAAAATATCGGGAATTTTCGTTTTTTGAAACAAATATTTATTTATTCGTCTACATTAATGTTGTCGCCTTCAAAATAGTCCCCATTGGCTATTATGCACATGTGCCAGCTTCTCTTCCAATACTCGAAACACTTCTAAAACTCTCTTCTCTCTTTATTTTTGGGAATAGGAAAAAGTCAGACAGAGGCATGTCTGGCGAATATGGAGGCTGGGGTATCATTACAGTATTGTTTTTAGCCAAAAATTTTGTTCAAAATTTAACAATTTTAGAACAAATTTTGCTGCCACGCGTTTCATACCCAAAACATTCGAAAAAATTTCATGGGATGAGCCAATCGATATACCAACATCATCAGCGACTTCTCTGATGGTTTATAACCATTTATTCCACTTTTTCCATGTTTTTATGGGTTGTTAATGTGCTTGTGCGTTCGGGGCGTTCGTCATCTTCAACGTCTTCACGGCCATCTTGGAAACTCTTATACCACTTGTAAACTCTTGTTTTACTTATAGCAGACTCACTATAGGCCTTTGTTAACATTTCATAGAATTTATTTCATTTTTTAAGCAAAATTGGATACAAATTCTTTAATCCATTTCTTTTAACGAACGAAAAATCGCCGAGCTCATAAAACACGTCTAACCTTAGCGGCTGCCACAGACAAAGTAAACAATAAAAACAGCTAAACTTTTTATCATACTTCGGGGGCATGTATACCAACATAATAAAGAAAATTTTATGACAACCGGACCCTCCGAACCCGCGAAATTTAACAATTCCCTTTATTTTCTGAACACACCACGTATTGTCAGATTTTAA